ACGCGAAGATATTGTGATTGAAACATGTCTGACTTGCTCTTGACCGACGTGACAAAGAGCTTTACACTTGGCGAGAAATGTGCTAATGAACGCGCGCCGACTCGGGGACGAAGGTCAGGCGATGACAAGGCCAAGTGGTCGAGTGGTGTTAGGGGAGGAAGGGGTTCGGCATACATGCCCAATACTCAACCAAGTATCAGACCTACCATACATTCATGATTTCGTCTCCCTTTTAAAGATCCGAAGCCTCTGTCAGAGCGGTAAACTCTACACAATGCAAACCCTGCTTGGGTCAATGGGGCACGGGGAGTTGATACACGAGCAGAGATTGCATTCTCCTGTAACCATATCGTTTCTGCTCGGATTCACCCGAGAAGCAGGCTGCTAAAAAAAGGTAGACTTGGGGCTTGTATTGTGGGTGTGCGCCATTTATACGTGCTTGGTGGACAGACCGCCGTACTGCATGCTATTTACCGCCTGGATGGTCAAGCGTGCTTCCAGAAATATGATTGACGAGACCTATAAATTTGATTGTCATTTTCTTGTTAACGTTCCCAACGGAAATTGGAGAAGGAAAAGGATATGCCATGGCAGGAATAATCGCTTGTGGTTTTCGTGCAAAAAAACCCCAAACCTCTTGGAATTGTTCTGCATCTTCTCCCGGGATAGTCTATACAATTTTCCCGATATCGCCTCCGTGCATTTCCTGTGCTAAGCCGCGACTTGCAGCATTTTTTTCGTCTTGTGTCCGGCACACAGTTAACCTACAGTGTATCTTTACCAACGTGAAATAAATGTTCAGATGTTCACACGTCTTAACAATAACAGCCGCCAACTGAAAATACAAACGTGCCGTTCTTGCAAACTTTCAATTTTTCGAACTCACATTCTGACGTAAAAGTGATTATTCCCCCTTTGAAGATACACAAGAAGATACACTGGACTCAAGGGCGGACCCAGAACACAATTTCTTTTTTTTGGGGGGGGGGCAAAAATAATTTTGGTCCCCCAAAAAGTGGGCCCAAAAATTTTACGGCGAGGGGTTCAGGGCCCGCTTGAGGGCCCCGAATTATTTTGGATTCTAGATGCTTTGTGGTGCGATCTGAGGCAATTTCTGATCACTTTAACCATTTTTTTTTGAAGAAAAGATGGTGGTGTACGCAGTGCCTGCCTTTATTGCGACGTCACTTAATAAAAAAGGGTTCGTTTTTGGGGGGCCATGGCCCCCGTTGCCCCCGGCCCCCTGGATCCGCCCATGGCTGGACTGCAGATGCATATGGACTGGCCTACAGCAAGTTGCATCTTTTAAGAAGTATTGATGAGTAAGAAGTAAAAAGGACAATCAGTTAAATTGTCTAATTCCATATAGTGTTCTGAGGAATTTTTATTAACTGTTTGTATTCTTGGTGTTTCCCGCAGTGAGGGTTTTTGCTCGTTTGCAGTGCATTTGGTTGCCTCTCAATTCCTTATATGAGAGTATAGTCTCCGTGTCACGTCTTGGCCCGGGTCAGCATGAAGTTCTCGATCCATTTTTTCAGCGGCATCTTTTTTCTTGACCCAATTTTTTCTTGTGCGAGAAATTAAGAATATCATGTTTAACTTTTCCTGCATGTTTTACCTATTCTTAAAAAAAGAGGAAGAAGAAATAGAAGAAGAGGACAAAAGCCGTACGCTAATTACTGCTTGCATCCCAATCCAACCTGCTTAAAATATTCTTAACGAATAATTGAGAGAAAAAAAAATCATTCAACACCCTCGCCGTGAACTAAATACTCCACTAGTCTATTTATGTGAAATAGACCAGTGGGTAACGTCCCCGGCCATTATCGTACCTTCCCATTCCATCGGACTGGACCACAAGGTAACGGGCCCATGGGATGGTATAGCTCTCTGCTGCTGCATTTAACCCGATCACGGAAACGGCACACGTACGACGGTTGCAGTGGAGGGACGAAGTCAGCGACCCGAAGATAAAAATATTAGAGGTCCGCTTAGGGTTTGAATTTGAAGCTTGCCCTTCTAATAACACCAACGCCTGAATAATGGTGCGGATGCGTCCTGAAACCGAGTAGAAAAGTACAGATAACCTCTGCACTGCTTCATTATGTCGGTATTAGGGACAAAGGCCATAGGTCACGTGAGAACGAAAACATCTCAGAAATTATTTCGTTCATAAATTCCGAAAAGTGGTTCTGAGAGAGGATGGGGATTGAGCTCCTGTCTTGGAAAGCAGTGCTTGGGTTGACTAATTCGGTTTTTTTATTATCAAAAGTTGGGTTTTGGAAAATTGATTTATTGAGTCGGCAACAATGTCCGGCACCAGTTGACGCTTGGTGTTTTGAACAATCCCAGCGCGCGACTGGAAACGCATTGTCCCAAGCGCCTTACTTAGATAATGATAACAAAACACTTGGTAGCATTTGCTATGGCATAACCTCCTTTTCTGCCGGCCTGAATGGCTTAACTTGATAACACGGAGAAACATTCCAGGGGAAATAGGTCTGCCGCCCCATATTCTCCTCCGCAGGTCTATTCTTAATGCTGTCTTGTTCAGGGTCGAGCTATCCGCGCCCTTCTTCCTCTTAAAAGCCGCTCCCTGCAAAATTTGCCCAAATGAATTGCAATAATTGCATTCCATCTGTTTTCTTTATTAGTTTTTATTTTCAAAGGATGTTTGGCCCCATTCCATCTTCCTGCCAGGGAAAATGTGGAGTTTACGACGCCTTTATTTCAGGACATGACAAGACTTTTGCATCGACTTCAATTTGATTTATTTTGTTTTTATATAATTCTCGGGGCGGGTCGGATAGGCAGAGAATACCTCCAGCGCCCTCTGTCGTCGAAAGAACATTTTGTTCTCATGGACGCATGTGCGTCACAAAGCCAGACGAGCGCTGAATGTTCACGCTACAACTACAGTAAGAAAAGATTATCCAAAAGAATAATGTTTGTATACATGCATAAGAGATATTCAGTGAAGTTCTTCATGTAGCGTTTAGAAAATCTAGGATATGAAAGTCCCATTCATAAGCTTTCTTTTAGTACAAAAATCATTCAAATCACTCGTACTTTTTAAACACAACCACCGTTTTAAAGTTCGGTCCACAGTTCACCAAAAAAGGTGTGCGTTCTTTCAGCAAAAAGACAACAATTCCCACACATCCCTATGTGTGGTTTTTTCGTTTTGCTGAAAGAACACTGATTTTTTTGGTGATCCGTGGACAGAACCTTAAAACGGTGGTTGTGTTTAAAATTCCGTAACTTGAAAAGTACGTGAGTGAGTTGAATGTTTCTTGTACTACAACAGAGTTTACGAATTGGGCTTTTATATCCTAGATTTTGAAAGTGCTACATGCAGAACTTCACTAGCCAATAGTACTGACATTTGGGTTTCGGGTTTTTTTTTTACTCACCCTGTAGAGAAAGCGAACCAAACAAAATCACTTGAGTTCTTCTCACACACGAAAAACACGTTATTTCATCCCTTCTTTTTGCCCCGAACGATCGTTACTGTATAATAACAATTATTATTTGTACAAAATGTCGGTGTTATGTCCATATTTTTGGATGTTGAAAATATGAAGAGACAGAGCAAGCGCGCAAGGGGAAACGACGAATGATTAGTATATTTCAATGAAATTTCATTAGTGATCCATGAAGCGTTTTACGCCAGCCTTGTTCGCAATTATTCACGATCGTTGATCATCTGACGTACTAAACAAAATCATTAAAAAATAAACAAAGGACAACAAACACGCAAATTAATGCAATGAGAAGCTTTTCATTCCCACTCGTTATACTGACGGCGAAAAAAAGGCTTCACTCCATGAAGGAAAAAATCTGCGTCATTAATGTAATCAATTGTATTGCCTAATTACCTTGCTTACGCACGTTGGACAACAACGTCACAACGAAGGATTACACAAGGAAAACGTATAACCTGGTGTTCCTCCAATCAGAGTATTTGAGAGAATAATTGGGCGTTCGGTCTGTTCTCATCCATATACTGTTGCAGTATAGATGTAGAACAAAAGGATATTCCAATAGCTTTTTCCCATGTGCTGCATCTGTTTAGAATTCTCTGCCTGGTGCTTGTTTCCCTCCAACCTATGATCTCTCCTGTTTCAAGAAGAACGTCGATTCCTACCTTCAGTTTTCCTGAGTGCCTACTCTTCTTTTATTTCTCTTGTAACCCTGCACCTTGAGTGGCTTTTAGTCTTGTTCACGGCGAATATGCATACAAAATACACGTTCTTTTTACGTTTTCTTTATAAAATTTCTTTCCTTTTGAGTTTTATAATAAACCATTTCATTTTCTGCAAAAATCCATACCAATGAACTTTATGAAAACGACGAGACAACGATTGGTTTAAATTTCATTAGCCTACCTACCCTTTTCACTTATGAACCATAAATGTTCGTGGTTTTCTTTAATTCTGAGGGTAACGTTGCTTTGATGTCACTTCACGCATGGAGCTATAGACACATGTGTTTTATAGCTCCATGCTTCACGCACTTACTTTAAAGGATGTGGGGCATTCGTGGACAAAATATTTCCCGCAAAATGTAGATCATTGAAAATATCTCTACATAAAGTTTGCGCATTGACTGGTGGTCAAATGCTTACCCAACCCAACTGACGGGGAACATGGTGCTTGTGTTCTTGGGCACGACACTTTACTACAATTGCCTCTCTCCACCCAGGAGTATAACTGGGTTCCTGTGAGGGTAGAGACCAGAATGTGCTGATCTCGAGCTGCTGCAGAAACTGGTCTCATGGCCTGATGAACAGGGGTAATAAGTGTGAAGCGCTTTGAGACCTTTGGTATAAAGCGCTAATAAGCACCATATTATTATTATATTTCTAAAGAAACGATCATTTTGTTTGGTATATGAGCATGTTTCATCATTACCTTTAAAATGTGTACAAAATTAGCAACAAACATTGAAACTCGACCATTTTATAAAAACAAAAATCTGGTATTTTGATTTTCCCCCAGAAATTTGCGAGAGCGGAGAGGAGAGTCAGGGAGGAAGCAGCGGGCTTCTGCGCAGTCAGACACCGCCTTCTAGCCAGCACTCGCCGCTGCTATCCGCCGGCGGCGGCAAAAAGAAGCGCAAGAAACGAAGACACAGGTGACTAAAACCTTGCTGTAAATGACTTGTTGTAATTGATAGGGGAATTCCTGCATCTAACATTGTAGCATCATTAATTTTCATTGTAACAATCTTAAAAATGACATACAAATGTTTACAAAATTAGGTCGTGTTATCATAATAACGACATTAAAACTAACACAATAAAGTTTCTACGTGCTGGTCGAGTCAGAATGATCTGGACCCAAATTAAAGGAAATAATTTAAAATATGTAGCAATAATCAAAACAAGTGCAAATGAAATATGTTATAGGCTGGTATTTTGGACGTATTTGGTGAAAGTTTCATGCATATCCATTTTACCATTTTGAAGAAAGCGCTAGCAAAGAACACCCGCTAAAAAAACCAACACTCTGACCACGGTTCCATGGTTCAACAAATTGATTGAAATCGCGTACTGATGTAAAGCAGTGTAAAAACAAATAAAAACCTATCCATGCATGGTGACTGACTCACTTGAAGTTATTGACATATTAAAAAAACCCAACCATTCCGTGTGCAGACTGGAAAAAGAGCCACTTCAATGAAAATGGCATAACTCCTCACCACAGCCACTAATTTGAACAAATCAAATTCCTGTGGAAGACAAGGTTATATAACCATTCATATGAAACAATCAGTTTTTTCTCAATACACTTTATTTGCGACACACAAAAATGGTGAACTTGGGTCCAGATCATTCTGACTCATTCTGTATATCCCATTCTTCGATTTGAAGCTTCAGAGGAATTTATTAGCCTACCGAGCTAGTTAGCTTAAAAACAAAACTTAACATTGTTGACGTCATGAAGTGCTTGTGAACAAGTCTAAACAAGAAACCAATGAAATGGTATTCGTCCGTGTTAGTTTGACGTCAAAAAGGCATACGACTGATTTCATGCAGTAAAGGGCTGGCAGACTTCATATTAGACTCGGTAATCAACAGAGCTGAATCACAGAATCACCCAAAAGGTCTTATTAGCATTTCCACGCATCGATTAAAGGGGGGCGAATCGAAGCTGATCATGTGTGTACAGAGCGATTGGTCTTCAAACTACACGCCCTAGGGCACAAGACCAAAGTCATCCCGGTAATTTGATTTAGAGGTAAAAATAAATACTGGGGTTGGCATTGCTTGGGACCAGTCTCAAGTCAGGGGTGAAGCCATGTCAAATGTAGTGCACAGACGTCGATATTGCAATGAACATAAAATGTATATAGTACGCCCTACGGCAATGACGTCCTAATTGAATTGGCAAAACAAACTGCGGCTATGATCGTAGAGAGTGGAGAGTAAGATGAATCTTTTAAATTTCATTGTTGAATGAAGTTATCTATTAGCTCCAATCATAAATATAGTATATATGGAAAACAAAGCAGCTAACCAGCAAGTTATTGGAAGAACAAATGCAGTGCGCGAGTTACGAGCAGTCATACATCACCAGAGATCTTTTGAACATTTGAAAAAAGGGGAGAGGTCTGAACGAGCTCGAATGTATAACACAAGTCCAGTTCCGATTGCTGTTGTGGCGATCGAGTCTGGTTCCCAATCTCTCGTTCGTGTGACCTTTCTCGTTGAAATCGCACGGGTTTCAGAACGAAGAATGTTTATATTGGAACCTGAAGTTTGTTTGAAGATAGTACTTTGATTCAAAACGTGTGATAATGTCCACAGCAGTGTTACTCGTACTCGAGTAAATGTTTTTGGTACTCGTACTCATGAAAATGTACTCGCACTCGGTACTCGTACTCGCAAGAAAAATGTTACCCGTACTCGTATTCGCTCTCGTACTCACGACAAGGTACCGTCGCGCTCGTACTGTCCTGTATACTCTTGCCAATGCTCTCCCGCAAGAAAAAAATATTAAGCGCTAAATTCAGGAAAAGAACCAATTTTCTACTATTTTGGGAGGCTTCTTCATTTAATGTCTAGTTTGACAGCAAAAAGCTAAAATTTGTTCCTGCTCTTGGAAAGTACTCGTTCTTGTACATCGTACTCGTACTCATACTCGTACTCGTACTCATGACCAACTACTCGTACTCATACTCGCACTCATGGCAATGTACTCTTATACTCGTATAGGAAATTTACTCGACTTCAACACAGATCCACAGGAAAAACCTACGGAAATGCAACACAAGTTAAACAGAAACTTAGATCAAAATTCCTTAAAGATTTGTTCCAGTTTTATCTTGTAACTGGTTCTGAATGAAGCGATTGGTTTTGAATATCGAACTAAACAAGATAGTGAGCACATTCAGTATAAACGTTCATGATTGATATGATTCAGAAAAGTGGTTTCGCGGTCCGCTTGCTAGCCACTGTTGGTTCCACAGAAATATATGTTAAAGTCAAAACGCAACGGAAATGCGAGATCACAAGAAATGGGCACGAAAAGTACAGTGCGAATCATGAGTTAACTACAGTACATCGCTAGAATCGTTTTGACTCGGGCAAACGGTCATCGGGTGACAGTGACGAGGCACAACTTAAATAACCAACCTCGAAAATTGATGTCAAGTACAACTGAAGTTGTCTCCCCCTGATTACCCAAAGTGGCCGGCAATTTGTCATGGAAATATTTTAACAAATTGATGTGGAGCGACATGCAGTTGGCAGCTGTTTGTTTGACAAACACTTCAGCTGGGTAAACCGTGACGGGGAAAGGGGAATACCGTTTAATACAGCGAGGCTTGAGCAGACATTCCGTCGACCTGACTGCAAAGCTATTACAAGCCAGCCGGTGTTAACGGGACCCGAAATGCACCTTATCTCACCGGTGAGGTCTGTGCCCTGGAGGAAAACCACTCTCTCTGTGTCCCTTTATCGCTGCTTAGCTGTCCACCGTTATTGGTCTGCGCCAATTAGTGCAGCGTTTTGGGCTGTCACTTGTCGGAAATGTTTAGTCTTGGTTAAGCCAATTTAGATGGGCTTCGGTACTCGTGACTGACGGCTGATGATCGTCAAGTTGGGATGGATTGTCCTTCTTTATTCCTTTCTTTTTTTAGAACGTCTGTATAGTTGACGTGACTCATGCATTCAGACAATAATGTATAGTGGAGAAAGAAACCTAAAAATCTATAGTCTGTGAGAAGCACATGAAAGGGTATAATTTAGGGAAAGGGTTGGGGAGTCTTGATTCCTGAGCTAAGCCGAGGGTGTCCTGTCAGCATTTGAACCAGAGACGGAATTTTGGGGGTTGCACGTGTTGACAAGTCAGTATAGTAACACGTCGGAGCGCTCTGGATGGCTGGCTGGCTTAGCAGATGCCACCTGAATGATCCTGTACCCATTCGTGGCTTGTTTCAACAATGTAACTTCGCCAAGTTTCTCAAGGTTGTTAATGGGTTCACTTGAAATGAAATCCTATTTTCAATATGTTTTCCCGTGTTCCTTTCAAACACTGTACATTCTGCCCTTTGGTATGTAGAGAGACACCCGTGGTAAAAGTATGGAAAAGATATAGGTCTGATAGGAATAGAACTCATCTTACACATGTGAACAAACTTGATTGCACCTTTGGCAAAATAGGATAGGCCTAGGCCTCTTCCTTCTTGTCGCTTGTTGGCTTACTGATGGTGTATCTGGATAAGAAAGAAATATGGTCCCTTTATTTCCCTGCCTTTCCTTTAGGACAATTTTCACAAGCTACCAACTGGAAGAGCTTGAGAAGGCATTCACAGACGCACACTATCCGGACGTCTATGCCCGAGAAATGCTGGCTCTCAAAACAGACCTCCCTGAAGACAGAATCCAGGTAAGATAGACGAAATTTCAACTTGTTTGATTTTAAACACCCCCCTTTATTTATGGTGTCTGTAACTCTCTGGAAAAGGGCTGCTTTTGTGCACAACATAATTCTCCTTACAAGTAAACTGGTTCCCTGTCCTGATATTATTGATTCAGATTGGGGCGGAAACCATTCTACCCTACATGAACTGAATTCTTATCGCGCCACAAGTAATTCGAAATATATAAAGACGGTAAATTGTTCCATAACTAAACGTTGGCTGATTTTGTCCTGTGATGTCTCATTCAAAATTGAATAGCTTTCGTATTGCTTTCTCGAGCGATTAAAAATATTTTCGGTTTTAAACTCGGAAATATCACGGAAAGTGCATCGTTAACACCACTTAGATGAAAACTGGCGGTCATTTTTAACTCGATGGTCAGAGGTTTAAGTAGGTTTTAGACTTGGGCATTTTTTTCTAGAAAGGAATCGCAACAATGTTCATCCGGTGGTGCTTTCAATTCGTAAAAAAGGGATAATTTGTCGCAGAACTAAATACAGTTATTTGAGTGATGTCGTTTTCTCACAGGTATAACTATATTTCAGTAAAATGACTTTTGTTCTGTCCTTTTCACGATGCAGCTGGACACTGCCCAATGCTCCAATATTCTTGCCCAATTACTTTTGTAAAAATTATAATGGAATTGAAAAAATCAAACAGCGACATGTAAGATTCGCTTGTTTCAGGACAACTCCATGCACCACTTTTTTCTTTCTTTTTAGACATACAAGTTTGCCATCTACTTATTTGATATAGTTTCAAAAATCAACTTCATAATGTTTAATATAGATTATTGTTGAATCTAAGCTCTTAATAAAAGGCCCTTAAGTTACCGCATTATAGAATGAGACGCTTCCTTTTAGACGGCATTAATGTAAAAGGTATGTTCAAGGTCCAAGAATCACGAGACATGCAAACTCTATGACGTTTAGAAGGAAAAAAGAATCCGGGATTGTGCGAGAAAAGCGGATTAGAGGAATTACTCAACTCTGGAAGTCCGTTCTAGATATTTCTCTCTTCTTGTCAAGAAGGGGAGAACAAAAAATCGGAACTCCGTGTGATGGTTATTGGTGCGAGCAAAAGAACCGGTCCCTCCGCGGCTTCTCCCGGCATCTTACAAAGCAATTAGGTGGGCCGAGTTACTCTCAGGGTGTTCCCGCCGCAAATACTTCTTAATTTTTCCAATTTGGAAAATGAGCAATTTGTAAGCCATCAAAAACCCATCCGTTCCCGTGGGCAAAAAAGAAAAGAAAAGAAGGGGAAAAACCGAGGTGGTTCGCATAGACGGAAGGGAGCATTGGGGGATTATTGGAAGGGACTTAGATGAAATCCAATCCGAATTGAGCAACCTAACGGCAATCGCGTAAACACGTATGCCTAATAATGCACCGCTCTTGTCTTTCAACGGTTTTGGAGTTTTTTTATGTCGTTCTCCAAGTTAGAGAATTAAAGTTTCAAAATCGAGCAATCTTATTTTGTCCACTTCTAACAATTCTTATCAACTAAACCACCAATGGAAACTGCCCAGGTGCACTGTAAGGTCAAAAATAAATTTACAGAAGCTGGATTTTGCAGGTCCAAATTCCTTTTTTTTATATTTTTTTTAGATATCTTGTAATTATTTTCAGACTAAAAAAGAAACAAGTTTGATAATTGTATGGAATAAAAACGTCAGCTAAAACTGACAGTAAAAGTGAGTTAGTCAATAAACCAAAAATTGGCAGAAGGGTCACATTTTTGTTTTTTTTATATTTTCAGATAAATTATGTCCTTTGTGTTCCAAAATGTAGCAGGACGTATCTTGGGCAAACATGTTCCAGACCTGAAGAAAAAAAAGGCTGTTTATATGCCTATTGCCTGATATTTATGCATTATTGAAAAGATGATGGGAATATGAACTCTCTTTTTCATAATCAAACAAGAAAGGAATAAACTAGCCCCAGATACATCCTTGCGCAATGTATGACATTCTCTTTAAAAAAAAAAAGGTCAAGTATACGGATGTAATTTTTTACCAGATCAAATCAAACCCATTTATAGTCGTTTATTGGAGATACATTCCTTTACCATGTTATTTCATGTTTAAGCTGTGTACGTTTCTCAAAATGGTGTTGAATAGGTAAAGAGCACAAAAAACCCTGAATTTTATGATTAGTTCACACTTAACATGCACCAACAAGTTCAGCTTCTTTAAGTGTGAAAAAAAGGTTAAAAGCCCTTTCAATATTTCTCAAAACACAAGTTTTCACGGTACATCCTGTTGCGAAGGGGGCACACAGCTCGCTATAAGTTACAAGAAGAGCTGATTTTGTTGAATGTTCTTTCGCTTTCTTTGAAGAGTCGACCTTCGTGCTTTGTGCCTCACATTTGGTCAGGATGTAACATTATCAGAACGTTCAATTAGAGCGGGCGAGTGCGTGTCCGAAATCATGTTCACAATTTCAAGGGACGTTAAACGCGTGATGTACGCCCTCCAGCGACACTGTTTGACTTCAAAGTCACAAGCCTTTGTTGCCCAAGTAATCACAAAAATTAACCTCAGGCTATTCAACCACATAACGAGTCATTTCTAAAATTGGCCTCGACTTCAAAGACGAGCCAAAATAAAAACCGTTTTCTCCGTGCTCATTCAAAGGAGAAATGAACTCGATACTTGAAACGGGATGAAAAAAAAATTTCCTTGCCACATGATAATTAATTAACAATTACGGGGGAAATTTATCTTGGCTGTGTATAGGGGGAACCATTATTAGATGTTTCTTTCAATATACTTTACAACCTTGTAGAGCACGGCATTTCCAAATGCGTGCCTGATTACACATATTCGTGCACGTTCACCAAACCTCCCTTGATTACCTCAACCGACCGCCGCACGCCTGCATGGAAATAATCAGGACTTCAATTTACCGAAGGGTCTCCCCCTCTTCTTCTTCTTCTTTTCTTTCCCCCCTTGCGCGACGAAATGGGGCAATCAATTTCGGCACATTAAATTAATAGTCAAAACCGTGCATTTATCAAGCAATAGCATCGCGGTGTGCTTGTTCGACCTCATGTGCCTCGTGTATCTGTGGGATCTAACGGGGACATTATGAGCGCCCGGGACGGGACGGGTTGACTTCGGGATTGGCAGGCTGGCAAAGTGAGTGTCCGCCCCGGACTGGGTTCAAGTGTGATTGCCATGGCTGTGTTTTGAGATGAATTCTTTTGAAGTAAGAACAGATGCAGTGAATGAAGTGCTGTTTTGAATATTCGTATCCATTTCTCAAACCTTGCTTGTCGAATGAAAAGAGGTACCTTGATTTTCGATCTGCCGATCGGTGAAACAAATAGATCAGTGGAAAAGGGCCCTTACATGCACATGTAGTCACTTTACGTGTTTGTATCAAGAGGAAATTGTTTTGGTATGAAATGTTAAGTCATGCGTCGCAGACAGCGAATCGTTTTTCAGTCGAATTACTGGCTTTTTCTCCGATTTCAGCTTCTTGAGTTTGAGGCTAGGCCCGCGAAAGCAGGGTGGCACGGCTCCACGGGGTCCATGTTCTACATCAAGCTTTTCATTTGATTGGTCATACAATGCATTGACAAACAAGGATTTCAAACTAGAAAAAAATGGAAAATGATTCATGAAACTGCTGCAAATTGCTTACAGACTGGATTGACCTACAATGTACAAATCGAAAAAGTTGAAGGGCCCCAGTTTCGAAACTATAGCAGTGTCTTTCTCAAATGCAAAATGCGCTTCACAAAAACTCTGCTAGTGTCAAAATATCAGGCCCGCTAAGTTTTGATTCAGAACAAATATACAGGGTGACCCCAAAAATGCAACCCTAAAACATTTGCCTGTCAAAAAAAAGGGATCGGTGGATTTTTATGTTTTTGGTATCAGATTAAAGCTAAGACTAGAGCATTTTCTTTCAAATACTGAAAAATAAATCTTGAAAATAGCACTTTGGGGTTGCTGAGAAAATGCCAATTATGTAAAAGTAGTCGTTTTTATCCTGTACACAAACAATTACCACAGTAAGGGTTTTTTACTGTACCTGTTTGAAGTACTTGTGTACAGGATGAAAAATGACTACTTTTTCATAATAAGTTAATTCTAAATAGGCCTACATATTGCTTTCAGACCTGATGATTTTAAAGGGGTGTGTTAGTTACATAAAGCACAGTGAAATCTTCCATACAAAGTGGTCTGTTTACTTAGCAAAAGCAAAACATTGGAACCGCGTAATAGTATTGGGTATTAAAGCGGACCCGATGATAATTTGGCGTAATTAACCATCAGGTTAATGTGAAACGGATTTTGTTGCTTTTAAAATGAATACAATTCTGTTGTATAATTGAAAAATAATCGACTGTAGAAACCACTTCCTGCTAGTGTAAATACGGGATTCGAGGTCCATTCCAAAGTTGGAGTACAATGGGTGCTAAAAAATGGTTTAATCTTCGCTAACGCCAAAAAGGATTCATTATTATTTCTTGGCATGAGCAGTAACTGAATAGATCAAGTATTATTATCAGTACAAGCAAGATACTGATTTGAAATAACAAGTTCAACTGTATACACTACGGATTTGGTTCTGTCTGCAGTGATTAACCGCGGCGCATAGACTGATGCAGAGAGGTGAATTAGTTACTAATTTATCGAGGCTTAAATTGTAGACGGGATTTCCATCACGGTCAGTGCCGCGAGGCACTGTCCGTTATACCCTAGTGTTGTTCCTCGACGCACTAGTATCAACAATTGTGAGATTATCAATCTTCCATTGAACTAATTGCGTATAGGTCCCCCCTTTTCCTTCGTCATTCCCGCCCCGATGCGGTCCGCTCGCATCACGAAATTGAAATTGACGGGCGAATACACGGCCAGAGAATGCCGACCGGCACAGCCCGGCCCGGCAACGGCTCGAACGGCCCGATGAGTTTCAACATTATAGCCGTGGCGTGATCGGAGGATGAAGCGATGAGCAGGACCCAGGAGTCACGTACAACATCTTCCATTACTTACAACAGCGCGTGAGCTCAAGCGACAATCTCGAATTATTTTCTCCAACTTAGCCCCCATCCCCTGCCCCTACACCTATAGCGTTTTTCCTCATTACGTCGTCGGTTACGTACGCTTTTGCCAATCAAAAGTCAATTTCACTCAGTCATTTCACATTCTAATCATACGTCTAAACTATACCCAGACCGACACATTTCCAAATTGACGACATTACAGACTGAGATTGTTAATTTATGCAGTACGCTGTCAAGTTTAGCAACAAAGGCAGTAATATGCCTGATAAACAGTGTATCTACATCCTGATGAGTAACTAAAAAAAACCCCAAAACTTGAGACAACATCAGCTAAACATACAAGCAATAATATAATGGCGTCAACACGGACGAGAGGAAAGGCAGCAACGACATCACATGTACAGGCCCTGGTCAAGTGTTTCGTTATCCCTAGGCACTAGTGTGCCGTAGGCCCTATTGTGGCACCGGCACCAGATTCATGTTGATTCTATTTAAGTACAAATCACCGTACAAATTAACCAGGCCAAACTGGTATAGGTTCTAGCTCTAAAACTGGCACCAATGGCGTCAATCACTTCTTAAACGCAGGGACGGGGTATATTCATGTATCTTGACTAGAACTAATGCGAGTGCGAAGCCTATTAAACGACGTGGGGTTCGGGGCCCTCTTAGGGCCCCGAAAAATTGTGTTCTGGATCCGCCCTTGACGACAGCAGCTTGCACACTTTGCACATATTGTAGAAACCGGCAGCGTGCAGCTGTGGAAACAGTAACCGTACACAAATGGCACCGCTATAGCAGCGCAGCTAAACATCGCATCAGCAGAAGTTACAACACACTCACCTTAAAAAAATACATATCACCAGCATCTACAGCAATAACAACAAACGTGCTGCAGGCCTAATCAAGAATGAAGACCAATAACCGCCAATACACTCTCCTTAAGGCAAGCGTGATTTCCCTTGTTTTGTTGCCCATTGTACCCCTGCTCCATACCCCTCTCATTCCCCTAGGAAATGAGCCTGGGCATGAGTTGTCGACATCCTCAAGAATCAGACAATAATACAATATCTATTGTACACCAATACCAAGTTTATGTCATTGCCCGACCGTTCACAATAAACGCCGACAAAGCCACAGCTTACCTAGGGAAATAACGGTCTTACTTCGGTTTCTCCTAATAGTTGCCCGCTCATTCTGTACACCTTTCGTTAATGTAACCATTATGATTATTACAGGCCGAGTGGAACTCTTGGATTGTTTTTGTATTGTTGCAAATTTACACAAATTACCGTAAAGGTGTTATTTTGCGAGAGGTTCCCCCTGGACTGAATATTGTATCTGGATGTGTTGGAAGATTAATTTTCTCCTTTGATTGTCACTGTTGAATTAATGAGTACGAATAACACTTTGTTTTCTATCACCTATGAGTAATGGGTTGAATGAACGAAGGCTGCCATGAGAAACAGATTGCGTTTGCCGCGTGCACAGGAGCTTGAGTGCCCGGGGATAGGGCTTCAGGTCCCTGAGTGAAAGATCTGAACAATGGGTGGGGTTTGAAACTACAGTCGCTACTAAACCTATTCAACAAGTTCTTTTATTACTGGGATGACAGCGACATAGGATTGGGAGGTTAAAGCTGACTTAGTTTAGGCACATGTCGTTGCCAACCACTAAATTCTTGCGAATACCAAATTGAACTTGAGTCGTTGTTCTCGTGGTTGAATTTAAATGCTTCGAACAAAATTTTGTTTTGTTCTGCTTGATAAGAAAAAAAAAGCTTAGCCCTATCGTGTATAAAAGCACTCGCAATTTCATGATGATTCCGAACGTAGACAAGCCTGATTAATGTATATGCAGCTCGGGTTCCATGATTTGCCAACTATAACTTTGGAGACCGCAGCTCAAAATGAGTCAATTTTCAGCTAAAGGAACCTCCATGCATAATCATAATTATCATCAAGCGAGTCCTTGAAGCCCTTCACAAACAGATGTAGACAGAGTCGATGCTGAAGACGAAACCAGGGCTTGGGAAAAGGCTGCGACTTGTGAATTAGACTCGTTACCTATTAACGCACTGACTGATTATCACTTGTGAATTAGGCTGGTTACCTATCCCACTGACTGACTGTCACTTGATAATCAAGACTGGTTACCTATTTCCATTACAGCTTATTCTACGAATTGTGCAGCCCATATAGATCGCTTTTATATAACTTTGTACACTCTGGGACGAGCTTTACAAAAACGGTTTACCTAGTTTTGTTACATTGTAAACACCACATCACTTTAATTTGAAGAATCAATGTTAAGTAATGTTCGTTTTTTCCCCACTGCTTGTTCCCATCTAGGTATGGTTCCAGAACCGCCGGGCGAAGTGGCGCAAGAGGGAAAAGTGTTGGGGCCGAAGCAGCGTTATGGCAGAGTACGGGCTGTACGGGGCCATGGTCCGACACTCTCTGCCTCTACCGGAGAGTATCCTCAAATCCTCGGATGAAGGGGAAGGAGAGTGCTGCGCGCCTTGGCTGCTCGGTAAGTCAGCCCCTTGGGCCGGGTGCATTTTTTTTGCAACCAACACAGCTATGTGTACCACTGTACGCATGTGTCAAATATACCATGGGATTAGAATAATATATTACGTGATTAAAGATGACTTTATAAGGTTTAGAATACTAAATGACACCGTGGCCTTATGGTTAGATGCTTCTGCTTTACTAAACGCCATTGGTTGGAATCTTTTCCCCCCAAAAAAATTGGATTTGTTTTTTTTTCAGTCCTATTTAATTAAGTCCTACTTTTCAATTAAATAAAAATTGTCACCTTTGATATAACCGACTTTTGGTTCTGGAGTTTTAAAGAAAACGAGTCCGTTGACAACTGATGCATGCGCATAATGGAACGTGAATATACCGCGTCGCAAAACAGGAATCGCGGGCCGGATTTGGAAATCACTGTAATCTCACACCTCGTCTTCTGTATATTTTACACGAATGTCGCCTTTTGTTGTTGCTATATTGTAAAATGAAAAACATTTTTATCAGGGCCCAGTGCTGTAGTCGAATCCTATTTCCAAGGCCGCAAGGAATCAAACCTAAGTTATAGGTACAAGCCGTGCCGAGTTCTTCAAATTGGTAGGAATATGAGGTTTTACGTTTGGGCACAAGGCCGACACAGATACATTGGAGCAATGTACAAACCAACGATGGTCGGCCGACCATCGTTGGAATTTGATACAAAATACCACTTTTCTTGAAAATGACAGCAAACCAGGTACCATGATTTTTCACATACTGTTATGCACTTACAGTCAAGTGAAGGTATTTCATAATAAGTTGGTAGTTTTGTTTTTTGATGTTTGCAAAAATGTTGTAGAATATACCTTTAATTCATAATGTAATATTTCCGTAAGTTTGCCAGACTCAGAAAAGGGCTCGACCAAAACACTGCAACTTTTACAGTTCTGCCAAACGTAGAATTCTGTGTTTTCTATAACCATTCGTAGTTTTAGAAACACAAACACTCAGCATGAATTCAGTGAATGTTCACCGTAATTACGTGGAGTAGGAGTAAGGGCGAAAACCAAACTAAATTCCCCGCTTACCCGTAATTACTCCAACCATTAGTAAAATGTTGCTATTTAGTAAGAGGACGATTATTAGTAAGCAAAGACACCAAATTGAGCCCAGGGTTATAATATGATAATAGGAAGTTTGTTATTTTTTTCGTTTTTGACATCAACAGACACAAACTGTATTAGTTGGTGCTCAAACTAAACCATAGGCACAGGAAAAACACTAATAATAGTACAAGCCACAAGCCCAGGGCAAACACTAGTGTATGTGTGAAAATATATATGTGTCGATATGTTGTATATGTTGCGCTGTGTTGCGGTTTCTTGAGTTCCTGCTGATGTCCTTTAAGTTGGATTCTTATGTTTCATATCTTGTGTATTTGTGTCACTCCAGTGGGTTTTAAGTCTACTTCATTGTTACTTTCAGGTATGCACAAGAAATCACTGGAAGTCGCCGAAAAGATGAAAGACACACCAGACCCGCAATCCAGAGACGACAAAGACCAATCCTCACCTCCGAGTCAGCACGACAAACCCTCCTTCGAAGACAAGGACCAAATCCGGTCCAACAGCATCGCCTCCCTGCGTGCTAAGGCCATCGAACACGCCTCAAAGATCTTGGGCCACACCGCACCGGTGGCGGCTCCCCCAACCAGCAGGCTGCAGTCGCCGACCCCGCACGGGGACGACGACGCGATGGCACGGCGTAGCAGTGACGACGAGGCCGGTGGATCGAGGAGTGAGTCTTCGTCTTCGTCGGCACCAGAGTCAGACGGGGAGCTCAACGCAGCAGATCGCCCGGTGTCTGGTGATGAGCACGAGGAACGCAGTGCCCGATTACTGGGTCTCGGGCATCCTGGTCTCGAGATGTTCACATCTCACTAACACAAAATGTCGCAGACACTTGTTTAAAATCGGGTCACTTGTTTAGTCGAAGAAATCCCGCACTTGCCGTCTCTTCACAAAAAAACTATGAATGAGTCTAATTGTAACGTAACAACAGACATCCTTAACTAGATATGAGGAAGCAGTTATCATGCGTGTATTGCATGCACATGATACATATATTATTTTCGCGCCCTCTGTTTATAGGCCTTTTGGAACATTCACTGTATTATTTCCGTTCTTTCAGTTGTTGAAAATATTAGGTTGCGTCATACTTTAAAAGACGAAATACAATTAGACACATTATTAGTTCTTATTAAATATCAATCCAGAACACACTTCACGTGTACGTCGAATGTGTTTTTTCTTCATATTATGTGACAGCGTAAATTGGCAGTGATGTAAATATATGTTTTCACGTGCTGTTTTACCGTTTGTATTAAATACTTGCGGTTTTGTGAATTGTAAAAAATGTAATAATTTAAGATTATTTACCCTGTAAATTGCTGATAGTTTAATTCATCAACTAAAATGTATAAAATACATAATTAAAACTTATAATACCGAAGACCAAAAAGGGGCACAGTCCAGTTATAATTATCTATTGTATTGTCGGAACAGAGAAGGTCTTTTTTCTAGCTTTATCTGTATTTAGTTTATTTCAAGTTTGTATCACGTCGCAGTGGTTGCAGGCCAGCCCACGAATGCACCAAATGCGAAGCATGTACAGTGATGAAAAATCACTGAGTGCTGGTAGTCGGGATATTGAGAGTTTACCCATCGCAAAGTCACTAGGAAAATACTGCCGAATATAACGTTTAACTGCTGGGTTTGTTGAAGACACGTCCTGAAACCACTGTGACTAGTGTTTATTACCTCCGCCAAGGAGGTTATGTTTTCATCGGATTTTGTTGGTTGGTTGGTTGGCTGGTTTTTCTGTTAACAAATGACTCAAAACGTTATGGAAGGATTTGCATGAAAATTGTTTTAGGGCTGGCCCTTGGTACAAGTAGGCCTACAAATCGATTAGATTTGGAAGTGATCCGGATCTGGGTCTGGATCCAGGCTTCTCTTCAAAGGATTCTTCACCATTTATGCGAGTATTTCTTTTGGGTGTACTGACAATATGGCGGGGAATTGTTTAGCCTTGGCGGAGGTTTGCGCTCTCTGAGTGCTTTCTAGTCTTAACCTGTTTTGCGTTGTTTTAAACCGTTTTTGGTTATGTATAACAAGAGCTTTATTTACACCAGTTAAATGTAAAGAATTGATTTGTTTTTGTTTCGTTACTCTTTGTTTTCACTGATGACGTAGCCACACATCACATTCATCTTCATAGTTCCACTCTTAAAGTGAAAAAGAAATTCGTATTTTTTTTGTTTTACGTGTCGATGGTTGACTTTCGCATTCCATGTCTCTTTTGTGCAGGTCTTAGTTTTTGAATTAAGAACAACTCGTTAAATTTAATAGGTATGCGTGCGCACTATATTCTTTATAAAAATATACCAACGAAACAGGCAAGCAACTGTAATTTCTTATTACTGCAGAGAATAGGCACGAACTTCAAGTTGGTTGACGAAATTTGGACTCCCATTATTTGGAATTATCAAAACACACCTTGAATTAAGCAATTTCATACCAAACTATCTCGCTGATAATTTTGATTTGTCAGTGTTTTTTCCAAGTATGGCGGGTGGAAATTTTATGAAAATTGGCATTTTGTTTGATAGCACGCCAGTCCTTGCCTTTTTATTACTTGGACGGCAAAACAATTTGTACATTTGCCTCACTTTATAGATACCAGTAAACCACAACGAGTGAAAATAAAACATTAACCAAATCAGCATGTTAGGTTGAGAAAATTGTTTTCGTTCCGAACAAAAGCGCCAAGGTTGAGGGACAAATTGAAGTTAAAAAGGTACGAGTGCAAGTTGATGTCCTTAAGTAAAAACCAGAACTGTAATCAGGTTTTCCTCGTCACCCTATGCAGGCCGATTTTATTACCTTCCATAATTTGGCCCGATGCAATGAGCATTGTTGTGTCCCGATGCAATGGCGGTTGCCATTGATCGCAAATTGCTGGAATTTAGTTCAGAATAATACAACCCCATGCCGAGTCGTTCTGGAAAAAGGAAGCAAAAAATAACAGTTGATTCAGAAAAGCATGGGACAAACAACTGCCCGCGAGGCACGGTGTGTGTACCCGGGGCAAAAATTACAGTTATTTCTTCAATTTGGACAAATTGACCATCAGCGGCCACGTGCGAGGGAGTAACCCAACGTCATTTGGCGGCAAACGGCGCTGCAACGCCTCCTTCTTCCGCAGTGTATCCGTATTGTGCCAAGCTCGACAGACAATGATTGAAAATCGTAAATTAGTTTAAATCAGTGAAGAAGAGAACATCAGGAGCCCCGCAACGGCGATACACAAGAAATCTAATTACATTTTCCCTTGGTCTGTGTATGCTGTACCAACTCACAACTCCTAATGCCAATGTATTATACAGAGAGTTTGCCTGCTGCATGACCGGAGAGGCACGTCGTTTAGTACCACTAACCAGGTCCGTTTACTATTCATCTTCCCACGTGCGGCACCGGTAAGGAATCTGAATCGTTGGTAATGCCATTCAGTTTCAAGCCGGTATATACCCGAGCTGTGCTGAAGAATACAATGTCATGGATTTCCCCCGACTAAACAAATTATGGAAGAAAACTGTATATTGAACGATAGAAAGTATTTATACTTCACACTCTAGTTGCGCTTCTGTGCCAACAAATGATATTTGTTTTAATGAAAAACTATCCTGGAAGACTGATGTCATATATGCCTATGTGAACACTGATGGATTACGAGCAGCACGCTTCAACACTCAAAATATGTATTGTTACCTTTAGAAGTCGAACCCAGAATCAATAATTCCCGGCAATTCAGGAAATATGCCTTTAACAATGTTCATAAAGGACTCTCTTCGAACCTCAAGATTCCCGATTTACCACCCGTCCTTCCCTAGGCCCTGTCCATCCATCCATCTAATAACGTAAACGTGCATGTGGTGGATACGACGCGGCCTTGAGCCTTAGCTATACCGAGTCAGCCAGACCCAACGTGAACTCAACGACGGTCCAGAAGATCTTACCGATCGCGCTACAGTGTACTGAAAGTATTTACCAAAGAACATAAGATTATTTCGGAGTAAGTGTGCTTGAAAAATATCCCCCCCCCAAAAAAAAGAACAAAGTAAAAACAGAACCAATGCAAGTGATGAATCATGATCGTTCAAACCAACCGTTTTAGCAAAGGCCTAGCCTACACTGTTAAAACATTTACACATGTATTTGCTAGACCATTTGATTTTTTAATATGGTACGGGTACATTCGAATACCCCCCACCGTCCCCTCCAAAATAGGAGGAAATGTGAAAGGAAAAGGGAAAAATAGGCCCGAATCCAATAGAATAACAGTAAAAACTACCAATGGAAAAGTAAAACGCGGTGATGTGCATATCTACACGTTTGTAATAATTGTATCACCAACGGCGACCCTATTATGGTTTCGGATGATGCCACACTGTGTTTTTCGAATTTTTAACGGCCAGCTCCCCCCCCCCCCAAAGGAACACCTTGCCGCGCTTTCATAGCGATTTATGTATAAAACTATACCCTTTTATATACCCTATATTGGGATATATATTTTAACCTCTGAAAAGAACGGCTTTGATTTTGGGTTGTTTTGCGCACCTACATGTCCGCCCTGCGAGAAAAACGATCCATTTATAATCAATCCTGCTAGAGGGCGAGAGGCAGTCTACCCTGCGGGAACTGAATTATTGGGCAGTTATTTAAAATTATATGGGGTATATTCCATAACTAAACGTAGGCCGATTCTTTTCGATGGACGTCTAATTCAAAAGTGTATTTGTTCTGCTAGAAACGACAACATTAAAACAAATTTTGGGCCGGGATGTTAAAGAAAAATGCACGGAAAGTGCATCTTTAAAATGTTGTTTACATTTTTTTTAGTTGGAAAGGGCGCTTTCTTGTATTGGGGTTATGTACAGAATAGAACAGAGAAGACGATTAACTCTCAGAAATGCGATTAACGAGGTATTGAATCGTTTATTAATGACATCAAATTAATTAGGAGTAAGACTTCGGGCAAAACCCCAATGTCGTCTTGCTTGAGATTTGTATTCAGTTCGCCGTCAAGATTTGCAGCAAGACGGCAATCTTCTAGTCGTTAACGGGGATGTGAACGAACATAATTAAACCCATCAAGCGTGTTTTTGTAACGGGGTTTAACTTGACTTCAATAATGTAAATTCCCCGTAAGGCGATTAGCAACTAGCGGAGTCTTATATCGCTCCTGCCATGCCGCCTCCAAGGCGGCTACGGTCCCGTTGGAATATCCAGCCGGGTACGCTAAGACTCCGTAAACGGGATTGGATTGGATTTTCCTTGTTCAATGATGTTCAAAAAGTGCAGCACTGATCAGAGTAATGCGGAATAAGTAGATTAATCACTTTTTTCTGCACTGCCCTTATCGTACGAGACAACAACCCGGAATTGAGAAACTCCAAAGTTAATTGTTGCGTATTTTGACTCGTAGGCCTATACACAGTCCTAGTTTTGATTGATAGAATATTTGGCGAAATTCACAATGTTTGTTTTAATCGGAAGCTGCTTTTGCCATTTTATCTTTAATGCTCTCGTCTTTGACCCATAATAGCAGGGCAGATAGGTGATGGATTGTGCCTTTTATGGTACAAGCATGGCATTTGGCACACAGTCAGAGTATGTAATGAGAAAGACAGTTGGCTAAAGGGCCATCGCAGACTTGTCCTTTGAACAGAATATAAGTAACAAGCAATGGCAGCCATTTTGAAAAATTAAAAAATTGCTTGTTATATTTTTTCAAAGGACAAATCTGCGATGGCCCTATGGCCAAATATCTTTCAGAAGATACTCTGACCGTGTGCCAAATGCCATGCTTGTATCATCAAAGGCACTATTCACCCAAATATTTCCCCTATCTAGATCTGCCCCACTGATAACGATTTATACAAAATAAACGATTCAAACCATGATATTCCATCTTACGGTTAAAAGAGAATGCAGAAAGGCGACTTTTGAATCAGTCAAAGCATTTTCTGGCCAGTGTGGTTTCACTGAATGGCTTCGGTTGTTTCGGTCTCGAGACCCTCATTTGGATCATTAACATACATCTCTCTTGATTGTTTCACTGATTCCTACTTTCGTGTTTATAATATTGTATGTGTTGATGCTAGAAATAATCTTGGTATTCAATAACGACCCAGCGTTAGCGCCAAAAGAAGATAGTTTTTTATGCCAAATATAGGCCCGTTTGCTGAGGTTTCACTGTTAGTCTTCACACGAAGCCAACAGTGATACAGTTTTGCTAATGATCCTATAGGTAATATTTCTGGTGGTTATAGAAGCACATTTTCTCTTCATTTCCGCTTGAAACCACCTTCTTTACATCAGCCGTCGATCACACATTATCCGTCATCGCCCATCACCGTTTCCTGACAATCTCTTGTCAGCCCATGGGCACAGATCAGGCTTCATAACTGACAGGCCGTATCGTTGCTTTATCGGCCAGACATGGTTGGGGCATTCAGGCTGCGGAGTGCCGCGCTGTGTGGTCCCTGCCAGTAATTACGGACGGCTGAAAGCTGACAAGGACGTTATAATAAGGCTTATTATAGGGGGACACTATATCATTTTATTCGCAAGGGTCTTCCGGTTTGGACAGTGTAAAGAAAAAAGAAACAGAAGTCGTTGAGCATATAGTGCGTATCACAGTTGTGATTTTACAATGCAAAACTTTCTTATAATATAGTCAGAGTATAAAACGAAGATATTTGTCATTTGGCGTTGGAATCTAACGCCCCCTTTGACATTGTGATTGCCAATGAAGTGTAGCGATTGCAAACTCAAATGTACGCGAAAATTGAGAATACACCCCATCCCAATAGCGAGACTGATCGCACTGGCTTTTTGGGCCTGGCTCAACATGGGGAACCACTGTTTTAGGCTGCTGTATATAATAATAGTTACGTCTTTTGCAATACCTGCAAAGACACGATATGAACGTGCTTTTAGCACTCGGTACACAGTGACCACGCAAGGTTAATAATCCGTGTACTAAATGTGCGCAAAGATCTCCGCCTTGTGTATATGAAGTCTTCGCAATATAGAAGTCTTCGCTATATAAAAGACATTCTTTCTGCACGTACAGAACTTCACCAATCATCTTCTGTATACACAGCTTCGTATTGGCTAATCAGGCGCCACACTATTATGTATTGAGAGGATTCAGGATTCGAAGGGCTGAGAGATAACTCGTCAGTTTCATGTGTTGATTATCAAGCATCCATTAAACATCAATCATTCAATAATTCCGTTTGAAGGTTCTCCTCCAAAACATGTGGTTTCTTTATTGATCTATTATTAATTTAGGGTGCACCTTTTTGATTGACATTCGCGTAGGATATCGTAGAGCCCAAACCAGTCCTGGCAAATTAAGTCAAATTACCCCCTATGTGACGTCAATGACGGACATCTGAAATGAGTTGACATTCCAGTTCACACCATGTCAGCTTAATTTTTTTCTTTAATAACTGTAATCGATTACAACTGTGCATGTCACGGAAGCCACAGAGGTCAACTGGAAATTATCTGGACGGTCCTTGCGCCTGGGTACAACGGCCGAGGGGAGGTCACAGTGCACGCCAGATGTAGTCCGTTCCACGGTACTCCAACCATCAAAGTCACCCCCACAAGGACTTGAAATTCCATCAGCGTGCAACGTCTGCATCCTCCGTGGTCAAACTCCCGGCCCAATGGTTCTCAGCTGTAGTGCGTCTCGTAAGTTCCCTTGCCTTTCCTTGAGTAGGGCTTCAACCCCGAGCAGGCAAAGCAACAGACCAGCCGAAGCAGCCAGGCTACCCGCTGCCGTAGCCGCTCACCAAGGATTTCACTAGGCGTCTCCCGGTGCCATCTAAGTAAACAGACCCAGCGGGATCGCCAATTTGCGGGCGACAACCCCCAACCCAACAAGTTGGCAAGGCGCTTTAAAAGTAGCAAAAGTCAACTTTCCGAAAACTAAAGGGGTCTGGTGTCCCCGTTCAGATCTGGGGCTAATTGCGGAGGCGGGGTCACCGCGTCCCGACTATTTGTTGTGATAACTTAATTACTGACAGCGGGCGCGCGTCCAAGCTGTCAGTCAGGGCTAGTTAGCGTGATGGCTGGATTTAATGGTGTCAAGCATGGATGGCGGTGCATGGTCGCGGACAAGCAACCTGGGAATTGTCACAGATGACATTCCCGAGAGGACTGCTCAACACTGTCTTACAGTTTGCATCGACAGCAGAATTCCCAGTCTCTAAGTCGCCCTGGTCGACCTTGCAGCGTCCGGTCCTGCATGTCGACATTTTGACACAATGAAACTTCGAAAATATCTGCATGTTGAACAGGCAAGATAAAACTTTCCTCAATGGTTTCACAGAGCAAAATGGTTTTAAAATTACTTAGCAGGTCCGAATTATGAGCCTCGCAATGGAAGCACACACTAGTCTTCCTGAAACCTTTTCTGTCAATTCGATCATGGAGAAATATTCGATTATGCATTCCATGCCTCAAATAGGCCTATACTTAAAACTACTATCGCGTGAAAAAAATCCGCTACACACAACACATTACATTACTTTCTTTTGAAATTAGCTTTAGGGTTCCAGACCAGTATAAACTGCCATAGGCCTAGACCTGAGTGGTAAATACGCGCACTTCCCAAAATTATTAAAAATACTCACAACTCTCCAAGCTGTTTGAGACACACGTCAAATTAAAGCTTATTTCATCTCTTTCGTTTTCCGTTCATTTTTTTTTTTGGGGGGGGGGCGGGTAACTAATGACTTTGGGGAAAAAATTACATCCTAAGATGATCACCCCTAAAAGCAGTCCTGAAGCGCTCGCAGTCCTCTGAACGGCTTCCACTTTTTTTTTTTTTTAATTTTTTTTTTTACAAATCCTCAAGTTCACGGCCCTCAAAATGTTCTTATACCTGAGAATTTGAGGGCATGCAAATCGTGATTTGGCCGCCGTAGGCAACTGATTTTAGGCCTATTTGCAGGTCTGCACCCTTAGATAGGGCGAAGTTACAATGTGAAAGGCGGGGACCCGGAGTTGAACAAACCGGCACAAGGTGGCGCTGTTCAGTAAAAGAGTCGCCCTAGGAGGGCTGTGACCGCTAATAATTGGATAGGGATATGACGGTGGATATACAAGCAAGATAAAAAGATTATTTTTTTTTGTCTGTACATATCCGCCTGTTGCGTCCATGCTAGCTTGGTAGATTCTTTCATTTAAATCACATTTAAATTTAAAAATAAAGCTTGTGTTCTGTTCCCTATCCCTCAATGATCACTATCTGTGTTCGTGTTTTTGAATATAGAAATTAACGACAGGGGTTCGATACAGTATGCTGCCTAGCGCACTGACGGACCGAGATACATCGGCGCAGCGCACATTCTAAAAGGATGGGTTGCAGTGGGTGGGTGTGGAGGGATCGGGGCACTGTATACTCGCATATAATAGCAGGGTGAAAACTATTTTTTTTTAAATGGGGGGGGGGGATGAAACGGGCTCTCCTTCGGTAGGCTAGTTGGCCTTCAAGAAAAGTTGAACACTCCCACTTATGATTATTGACACTCTGATTGGACAGCTCATTACTTAGGTAAAGCTACAATTTCGTTATTTTCTTTCTGCGTGTCCCGCTCAAACCGCGCGTAGAATAGGCCTATATTTTGGGCTCACATCCAACAACCTAAGAGACATCCATTTCCTTGTGAATTTCGTGTTGCCGATTCTGCTATTAAAGCGAACAAAATCATACAAACGACTGTCAAGCAGAACAGGTTCAACATGATTCGAATGAAGAAAATTATTACGACAAGGACTATATTCTCTTGAGTGTGCATAATCATTTTGGATCATTTCTGTACATAAGCAGCTATTAACCATTAACCATATAGCATAATGGCTTGCAATACTTGACAAGAAAGTTGACCAACGTTCCCAAAAGAGTTTGCCTGGCGCACAAAGCTAGGCCGCGCGCAACTACTAGGCCTAATGTTTGTAAGACCCTGAGCCTCACCACAGCACCAGTGTCTGGAATGGTGGACCCCGACCTCAAACAAAAACACCGGGCCTCTCGATTGGTGGGCTGGCCGTTTATTAATCGTTAATTAAGTCCAGCGCCCTATTGTTGCCGGCCGGCCCGTCAGGACATGACTCGCCCAGGTGTTGGGAACATTCCTGACCGCCCCTGTCGCGCACTTCAAACAGACGCCGCCGCCCGCCAGAATGGCACTGCTCTCCGATCCGCGGCGGCCTCCGGGCCGCGAAATGTCTTCATGTCTCATTGGCCGACTTGAAATGGCAAAATCCGAATTTCATAATTACGCGCATCTGGCTCGCCAAAGACACACAGCAGGCCATTTTCTTTTTTATATCAGAGCGCTTTAAAACAAAGATATCTACGTATTTCTAAGACTGGTATCGTCAATGCCGACTAAAAAAAAAAAGTTTTTTTGAAAAATGGGATTACATGATGTACTAATCCATTTGTCTGGTGAAGTCAGGGGCCAATTTCATAGAGCTGCTTAAGCACAAAATTTGCTTAAGCCCAAAAAAATCTTGCTTTAATATAATCAGGTTACCGGCCAAAACTCCACTCGATTGTTATGCTAAGTAAACAACAGCTAAATACCAGTCACAAGCAATGTACATCGCATGGAGTTTTGGCGGGTTACGTGATTTTACTAAGCAATGTTTTTTCGTGCTTAAGCAAATTTTGTGCTTAAGCAGCTCTATGAAATTGGGCCCAGGTCTTCAATTTCACAAACGCGTAGTATCTTGGTATTTTTTAATTTATAAACACACTTAGGGTTTCCTCTATTCCCTTTAACAGTTGTATCTCATCATTCGGACATTAATGGTCACAGTAGCCTTCATGGCCATATTTCTGTGAAACCATGAAAGAAAACTCCGGGAATAATTTAAGTGCGCAGAAGTAGTTATATTCCTTACTGCATCCCCTACTGAGAGAATTCGGGACTTTTAGAAAGCCTACACTGTGATATAACAATGTTTACAATATCTGGGGATCATTAACGGGAGAATATTTATTAAAAACCCCGCCCACCAGTGTCTTTGGAGCCTTCCAACGGCCTTGTGCATTCAAACTGAGTTTCAACCAAACGTGCAGTCTAAAGCCAGGTAAGGCTTGGTTTCCACGTTTTGGATGACTGGTATGGTGAGGGGCGGGTGGGGGGGGGAGAAATTTGTTTTTCCAAACGAGATTGGACAATATCAAAAGAGGGTGCTCTCTCTCTATGTTATGCATATTCATGATGTCCAGGGCTTTAGAGAATAAGTTGTATAACAAGGAATGGTGGTGTTTAAATCACCAACGATTGGCAGCTGATTCGTGGACTGGTTGGAAGTAGTCCTGACTTCTAATCAGGTGATCCGAGTTCAAATCTCATTGAGCGTTTTTCAATTCATCTCATTTTACCTTTGAAATAACTAAAGTGAGGAAGGAACATTTCTCACAAGACGTAAAGCCCATCTTGGGTTTTTGTTGTGGAGAACAACAAGGTATTAGATATGCATGTGATGGACCAATCAGAAGATGGTAAACGGATGTCGTTTGGAAAAACAGATTCGCGGGCGGGGGATGGGGTTCAATGATTAACAACAAAACACACAAAAGCAAATGGATACACAGAAAAAAAGAGCAAAATGTCGAAAATTAAATAACCACCACAGGGGGCATTACAGTCACGTTCCGCGTGAAGGATATTCGGTCATGTCATCTATAACAACAGTTTCTTGGACTGTTACAAGAAAGAAACATCTAACCATGAATTGTCTTTCAAACAAATATCAAATCACACAAACGCCAAAACGACAGGAGGGGTTATGAAAACCAATGCATGCCCTGCGTGTGGCGTACGGGGGATGTGGAGAAGGAAGACAAATGGAAGAATAAAAGTAAACGTGATAGGGCTTAATGCTTTAATGCATGATCATTTGATTTTACTTATACACACGCAGGCCTATATGGATTATACAGCGCTACAATAAATACTTATTTTTCTGTAAGGTCAAATTTTAAGAGCGTTGCAATCCAACCAATCACAGTACGTCGCAGTATTGAGCTCAATATAGTTGGGAGGGGCAGAGTTAGCTTAAACCAAACATCTGGACTAGTTTGTATAATCTGAAAATATATTTTGATGACCTTCTGAAATTTCAATGGAGAAAAAAGAAACTGAAATAACTTCAACCAAAAAAGACAACCGTGAGCATAGTAGATGTTTCTTTAAGGCAAGAACACTAAATACATTTTTTTTACAGTTCAATTCATTAAAACTGTATTTTTGTAATCAAAATCAGGAATTAACTTCTCTTTAATTTATAGAGGAACACTTTTTCAGCGAGACTTCATCTGTAATGACTTCAGCTGTGATAATCATAGATAAAACAATTTTAGTTTAGCCTATATCTTCAACCATGCTTTGTTTTATAAATAGCGACACGTTTGTCATTTTAAAAAATCTTCATTAAATTCTTTCTAGTAATGAAACCAAGGACTTTCCCAAGTGCACAATTACTGTCACTCTAAAGAATGCTAGAAAGAGGAGACGATGAAGATATATTCAGTCTTAGAGGCGGGAAGTTGTAACGGGGCTGATTCATTTGGAATGATATTCCCAGGATAATTCAGAGACAGGGACTGAAAACCCAATCCACTTTAGATAGTTGAAGGTTACTTGAGAACCAATCGAAATTTCTCCAGGCACAGGTAGCATGGAGTGCACATCTCATGGCTACAGGGATGATCTTAATATTGGACCTTATGTCCAAGCTGCTCTGGTGCCACTCATAAAAATTGTGATTCAGACTCACAGTCTGCACAAAGGGCACCAAACGAAGTGAAGGAACACCAGGGTGTTACTGGCCTTTATGAAGGAGGAACCCAGCAGTTGCCGTGGGAGTCTGGAAGGTCTGTGTAGGGGATGTCCCATAGCCAAGGTCGATCTAGATAACCAGAAAATGATGCATCAATACAATGAATAACCCATTACGGTCAAACACTCTCCCTACCTGATTCTGCTTGTTTAGCTCCTCTTTGCCGCCTGCCATTGTCGGCTTGAAGATGATTAACAACTGCATCTGTTTTGTTACAATTTATGCCATGAATAGTGCTGTTTAAAAAGTCTGCCCCAACCCCACCCAATGGCATCAAGCACTGTGCTCCAACTAGCTGCTCCCTTGCTGTGACGCTGAATCTTTGGCATGTTAAAAACTCTTGCACATTATACATGCTATTAGGTGCAGAATAGTCTGGTACCTGGCCATGCTTTAAATCAGCGTTTGTTTCTTATGTGGTGGCCAGGGTACAGATGGAATCAATTCCTCATGGAGTGAGATCAGAAAAAAATATATGATTATTTCAAAGTTTTAACGTTATAATCTAACATGATTACGGCAAAAAAGAAAAAAGGGAGGATTGATTTTGATGAATGGATGTAATAATTTTTCCTAAATGTTTAAACACGTGAATGCATATTGAAAAATAAAATTGCCAAGTACATGATATAAATCCATTACTTGCTACTGCGATTTTGAATCAGATTTTGAATACAGTGAACTGAGTGAAGCAAGTTGCCTTCCCAGGATCAAGTACTGTCTCGAGATTGAAATTAGACACTAGGAACAAGGTTGGGCCTGCCCCTCCTAGTTGATTTCTGGATCAGCTATGATACATTACTACACCTACAGCCATGAAAAGGTGTGCTATTACTAATAGCCCAAGACCATCCCCCATGCCCCCTCAAAGTCTCTCTCCTCTCATGCAAACATGTTTTGGGTTTGTGCAATTCCAGATGATAGTATCCCTCAAAGGGCTGGGCTTTGACACAAACTAGTGTGCATGTACATATTGTGACCTCACTGTGTGCTCATATTTGAAGCCAATAATTATGTAAATATTAACGAGACCTTATTGTTTGAACCGAAGTCCCCTCCTTGGATGCAACCCCTCCCACCCGGCATTGAACGTTAAGTGCAGTTCCAGATGTGTTGTTTGCCAGATCCACATCCAGGAGTCTGACTCCTTGGGTACCACCCACAGCACTACAGTATTGGTAACATCACTTGCAACACCTCTAATGTCATATATCTCATCTCTTGCAGGGTTTGTGGAGTGCAGTATGTCGGGGAGACCAAGAACACGCTAAAAAATGTGTTTCTAGGGTCACTGATCGACTGTCAACACTAGAGTCTGGACACCCATGTCGGTCACCACTTCAACCTTCCTAACCATTCCGTTTCCGATATGATTTTACAGGGCATAGAATCACTTGGCCGTCGCAAGGACTCTGTTCGCTTAAGCAGGGAGAAAGTGTGGATGAAGCCTCTTCAGACTGGTGAACCGCATGGTCTCAACATTCAACAAGGCAACAACATTTCTTCCCCCAATTGTCATTTGTTTCAGATTATCCTGGGTAACCCTCTTGGGGTTTAACACCTCCTGTGTTACCTCTCATTTCAAGTTTACCCTTAATTTCCTCATCCACCAGTTCCCCAACCCCTCCCTATTATTACCCCCTCCTCCCCCATTCACACTAATCTCGTTTGCAAGGAAGGGATGGTGCGAGGGGGGGGGGGGACAAAGTTTGTTTCCCCCACCCCGCACCATCCCTTCCTTTTATCCCCTCTTGATTGTCTCCCACCACACTCCTTCGCTGCTTTATCCTCTTTGATCTTCACTCACACTAGCCATGGTCTGCAAACACCCCCCTCCCCAAATCCTTCCTTCGTGTTTCTCCTTCCAACACTGCATGCTTGTGTGTCGCCTACATGTTTGTTTCTTGTTCCTCTGTCATTGGCCTCTTAGAACGCCTTGCTAAGGCTGTAGCTTGGTAGTTACTTAAGTGGTACAGACGTAGTAGAAAAAAGGCCTTGGTATGGGTCGGAGTCCCACGCAAGCAAGCGTAGGAGTGTTTTTGCAAGTTCTGAGAGAGCTCTTATTTGCCAATTACATCAAAGGGTGAAACCCAATACAATTGTTTTTCTCTCTTACCATCTTTGGAGTATGGCACTAATTGTGAATCCCAAGGTAATGGGAAATGAAGCTCATCCTCATCAACAGCTGATGAGACTGCAAACCTTGTGCTCTCTGAAACCTGCATGGATGATAATAATATACAGTGGGTTAGAAGCAGGGATGTAGTCAAGCCCAGCACAAGTCCCCCCCCCCCAAGTCCCTGCAAGTCCATCACATGTCCTCCAGTCACAATTCAACTCACAAGCTATTAGAAATGAGCTTTGACAAAGACATCCTTTGTTATTGTTCAACCATTGCTGCTTGTAAATGGACTTGTGATGTATTTGTGATGAACTCGACTTAGAAGTGGCAAACTAATCGACAGATTGTGGAAAAATATAAGAAAGGTCTCTGGACCTAATTCTGGAGATCTGTATTTTTAAATCTTGAGAAATTCAAGAAAACCAAGTAACAAAAAAGAGCAAAAAAGAAAAAAAAGGATAGAATGTATGTCCCCACAACTACGGAACAAGACTGTGTGAACAGGTTAACTTAATCTGTTTTAAATACATACATATGCAACAATTTACTGTACCCAAGCTTGATATGTATTACAAATCTTATAACTAAGAAAATTACAGAGGTACAATGTATTCAACTGTACATCTAAAGAAATAAAGACTTTATAGGCCTACAATGTATATAAGGAGACTATCTGTTTTGCAACATTCTTCAACCTCAGCTCTCAATTTGCACTTCTCAGTTCAGAGGAGAAATTGAAGTTTCTTGTCTCGACATCTCTACAACCAAAACACACACACACGTACACAACTCCGTTCGCAATTACTGTAATCGATAAGCTTTGTTTTTACAAGTGCAATCAACAGCCTCACCTCCAATTTAGCTAAATGTCCAGAACTGGAAGGGGCAGGAAACCAAATTACTGGTCAAGTAAGAAAGACAGCCACAAGTACCGCAGCCCTCAATAACATCAGGATCACTTGTGATTTATTTAATAGATGAGTTTGTTCAAATCAGTGATTTTCAGTCACTGTGTCATTGTAGTCACTAGCCATCAACAGCCCACTTGATTCAGATTCAATTATTCAGAGCAAGAATCAAAATGTAGGACATACACAGACAAGTACCATAAGGCTCGTTGACTTGAATAGGTTTATTGTTCACTGACACAGTTCATCAGTTTTTTCTCTCATCTTTGTTTTTCTTTTGGGTGGCTATATATGTCCTGTATTTGTCAGTGCGGTCACTAACACATTAACAGCCCACTTGATGTGGATGGAATTTTTTTTCCCGGGCAACTGCTCCCAAAACAGCATTTTTCCAATTATAATCCTGCCAGAGAGAGGATTGCAATCGGGAAACGACAAAATGGGTTGATGGCCTCATTACGTGATGGCGGAGTAATTCGATAAACTGCGACGGTGGGGTGTGTTGGGAACGGGGGCGGCACTTATTATAACGCGGCCACAAAAGCAACGAAAAATCAATAGTGGGCCAGTATGAAAAACTCCACTGAAGAGAACGTGTAAGAAAAACTAATAGCACAAAAATAACTATTGTTGGCGTGTTTATTGAATAGGTTGATAATGATTACTACACACATCAATTTGCTTGATGACAGTGTAAGGAAGACAAGAGTATAAAAAAACTACTGCAACAGTTTCTGCAAGGCACAGAGAAAAACAGCAATTTGAGGGCTATTACTGGCAAATCACGACCACTGTGCACATCAATTGACTTGATGAGATGACTGGCTGATAGGAATGACTGCAAGTTTGTCACGTCGTTTACCGATCGCTCACTGATTGTTCTTACAGGCAGGTGACGATGACTGTAAACACTGATCTGTTTGCAAGGTTCTTGCGGATGGGAAATAAATGGGGCTGACAGTCATTTAATTAATTTAAAAGAAGAGTGTGAAGCATCAATTAAAAAGTTAATTACACAAAATTATGCCCATGCATTTTGGCCACACAACCGTCAATTCAATAGTGTACATTAATTATTTAACCATCCCATACAATTTCACAGCCTGTGCAAATGAATAGACTTTTGGAAGAAGTTGGATGGTTGAAGTGGTAGGAACGCCTTTTGACACTCTTCTAATTGGAAATCTGTTTTTTTTACATAGAATATACAGGTTTTGTGGCATTCATCACCTGTAAAGGTACATGTTTTTCTCTCATTTTTTTTTGGGAGGGAGCTGAGGCAGGGGCGGGGGCGGGAACGGGGTGGGGCGGGGGCAGGGGCGGGGGCAGGGGTGGGGGCAGGGGGTGTGAGCATTGGCAGGGGCGTTGGCGGGGGCAGGGGCGCCGCAGGGACATGGGGGGGGGGGGGGAAGGTGAAGTATTTTTTCCCCCTAAAGTTGATTTTAATTGTTTTCCAAGTTCCTCTAGAACAGCACAGGTCTACAGTTGTCTCACAAAGTCAAAGTGCACACAAATCGGTTGTTACATGTATCTCATCTCTGAAAATGAATATACATGTAGGAAAGTTCTTCATAAATGGCTTTATAACCACTGCTGTGCCCATTGGTCACCACTGACTAAATCGGCCAAAAGTGTACTTCATTGTAGGATAAGGGATCACGTGTCCATACATGGCTAACAACATCAATGAAAATGTATTAGAAAAAAATCTATGTGGCTTTACATTATCATTAATGTTTGAGTTGCTCCTATTATATACACTGGTAAAAAAACGTGAACAATCCAAAATTACTGTTAAAAATGAAAAAGAAATTTATACTAAAATTGGTTGGTACTTCAGGTATTGTTTACCAGGGAATGTGGGGGTTTGTGTGGGTGTCTGGGATGAGCTCTTACAATGAAGGGGGTCATTATGTGTGGGTGATGGTAATATGGTTGCCGTGATAGTGAAGCCATATGCTGTTCCAATGTGAAGCTTTGCTATAATAAAACAAGGCAGGGGATGTTTGTGGGCGCTGAAAATGCCATGGTTTCAATTGTAACTAACGATACTTGGTATACAGGCCTATTAGGGACCATTAGAGATGATGTGAATGCAAGTTCTAGTATGGTTCCAGTTATGTGGCTCCATCTAGCATTTACTGCAATACATCAACTATACAGTGCATAAAAAAAACCCCCGATCTTTAATCTGTTTTGTGTTAACTTATTCTTGCAATTAGCACCGCAAGCACTGATTATTGCAGTGTCTAAAACTTAATCCTGAGCCGAATTTGCTTCAATGTGAGAAAACAATGATTATTCAAGTAACTATGACATGATGTGAATAAATGATATACATTTGCAAAGATGAGATTGTGGCTTTAAGATGCTATGGGTACACTGGTGTAACTTACACAATCTTCACAGAATTAGAAATGATCGGTCTGTTTCGTTTTTTTGATACGCAGTGTATCATTGAGCTTTGATGTACAGCCTGATAGTGTACATTTGCTAATGCAGTGTAGTCCTCTTCCAAATCTTTATGTAAACTCGAAAGGAAGACCAAATTAGGTGCATATAAAATTGAACAAGGAGAGTGACTGCAGCTGGCTTTGAACCTGCAACATTCGGTTTAGTTCGAACCAGTGCACTACCAACTGAGCTATCCAGTCCTGTGTTGGTGGTTCCCCAGTTTGTCAATGTTTTTGATCAAGGGGCGCTAGTCAGAAGCCAGAAGTCTGTATTTGCCATGTAACCAGGGATCACACCCAAATATGCTAAAGTACAATGAAATATAAGCTGGTAGCATGTACACCGAGAAACAAGACAAATCTGTTGAAAAAATGTTTAAAAAAATGTTGAAAAAATGTTCAAACATTTGCAAACATTTTTACTGTTAGCTTACTCAACCGTGTGTATTACTTCTCATTGACTCAGCACCACCTTGGTACTGAGGCTTGATTCTTGCTGTACATTATTTCAGTGTATTTGGGGAATCAGAAAAAGGACCCAACGACAGCACTGTAATTTTCACATGCAAATATTAACGCCCAATTCGCATCCCACATACACAAAACACCCCACATCTCCATGACAAGACATGCGACACACTCTTAGTGAAATTGTATCCCTGGGCTGCTTGATAGCAAATAACATCATGACAGACCGTAACATTGTTCTGTGTACATTTTCTGTGAGTTTCTGCAAGTTTAAGAAGCATGCAAAGGGCAATAAATCATCACAGAATGTGTGCTTTATTGAACCAAGATTTATGTATAATGACTAAACCAAAAACTTGACTGGCCTCGCCCCTTGTTCCATCTAGGCCAAGGGGCAAAGCCTTCAAGATTTAATCTATAGCTCCAAAACATAGAGAATGCTTTGTAAAGTTTACGTTGTAAATTTACCAGCATGAGCATGTATATCAGAAAAATTGGTTCACCCACAAGTTCCTGTTTTGCCCCAAACCGCCCTGCCCGTTACTCCCTTTATACCACCCAAAACTGCCCTGCAGCAGCACAAGTATGGTCTGTACTCAGGGAACAAATACGTGTTTGGCCAGTTTAGGCTTGGGGCCTGGATGCGGATAATTGCCCAAGCCAAAGGTGAGGGACAGTATCAGTGACCAGGCACCTACGTGTTTTTAACCAGTTCACGTCGGGAATATTTTGACAAGATTGGGAAGAGGTGCTAGATTACATTTCACTCGACCTCAATGCCAGGCGGGTTGAAGCCATTACCCTGGCCTCGCTCCCTGCATGTTTATCTGTCGTCCGTTCCAAATACCACAAAACCATTGCCTGTTTACACCGTCATCCGGCGCGAAACTGGTTTAACGTACTTGTTCAATACCGGCCAAGCACATATTTATTCTCATTTGTAAATTCCTTTCTGTCAAAATTTCAAAACAAGTCAAAAATTCACAATTTTCCAACAATTTTGTTCAACAATTTTACTGTAGGTTTTGTGAAACCTCCTCTGGCCATGTCTATAATATGTGCCTTGCACGTGTAGTGCTAAAAATCTACGACGCATTCTACGCGTGTGGCGCAGAACGCAGCGGTAGCGAAGGAATAAAGTGTTTAAAACAACCAGTGTTTTATCAGCTGTTTCAAACCACCTATGGGAAGGGTTCTCGACCAATAGGAATGGGTCAACCGTCTTAGGTATTTATGAATACAATGTACACAAGTCATAAAGGTTTAATCCGGGGTAGGGGGGCAGGCTTTCAGGGGTACTGTTCAAAGCGGATGATCTTGGACATTATTTGACAAACGATTTTACCCACACGACAATTTTGCCAACAAAAGCAATGAACGAGGGGGAGGGGGAGGGGGGGGGGGGGGAGGGGAGGGGGGGAGGGTTCTCACTTCCCACATATCCTCCCTCTAGCAATGCCGGGGCATTTGAACACTGCACAATAATATAGGATTTAGGCACATGCAGACTGGTTCCGAACATTTTATCTTTATGAAGCAGATGATGAAAAACAAAAACATAGAACTTACGAAGTCAGCTGGAAGGAAGAGGACGCCGATCTCATAGGACCTAATCATAAGCTGCTGTCCGTTCTTTTCAAGAGCTCCCCAGGCAGCTTTGGACATGTTGGCACTACCAAGACAAATATGGTGAAGATGTCTTTTTTCGAATCAGGGTTTCAATTGTAAAATTCTATAAAATGTGACATGGCTCAAAGTGACAAGATTGTTTTTATATCGATATAATATCAAATCTAAAAAATAAATGTAGCCTGACATTGCGAACTTAAAGGGAATATACATCATTTGCTTTTGCTGTAATTTTCAGAAATGGATGGAATTGGGGGGTTGGAAATATGAAGCAAATATAGTTACACTGACTTTTTGGAGGTTTTGGGTTCGAAAATGCTATAAAAACCAAGAAAAACGATCATTTTCCTGTAGTCTGGTTCCCTGACTCCATATAAGAAGAAACAGAGCAGTTTACATACATTGGGGAATTGTAAGGTCAGGGAACCAGTCTAGCTGGCCCGTACCCGTTCATAGGTTTGTAATCGATTGCAAACAAGTGCAATGGTCAATTGTGGCCAGTATTTGAAAAAAAGCCAGTTGTTTCCAACGCTGATCGGCCGATCAGCGTTGGAAATTGATACAAAAATACCAATTTTCTTGAAAATGACAGTATACCAGGTGCCATAATTTTACAGGATGCTTTAGACTGTCATTTACCAACATCCTATTAAGGTATTTCGCAAAAACTTGGTAGTTTTATTTTTCGATGTTTGCAAATGTTGTATATTCCCTTTAACAAGAAGAACTTGTTAATTTAGCAACGTCAGGCCGCATTATTTTTTTAGATTTGTGTATTTTAGGTCAATCCAGTCAGTAAGCAGTTTGCAGCAGTCCTATTAATTTTCAGATATAATATCAATTATATAATTTCAGTAACACAAGAATAACTTTGGTACCCATCTGAAGACATATTTAATAAGCAAAATTTCTGTTGGTAATTTAAAAAACTAAAGTCTTGAAAAAAAAATTGAATTTGACTCTCTGTAATAAACGGCCTTTTACATCAGTACCTGGCTCAGTTTTGTGCAAGAAATCAGTTCTTGTCTTAATTCACTTACCATGAGGCGAAATTGCCACGAAGAAATTATATGAATGAAATTACTCGTTTCCAAAAAAAGAAACAGTCTAACGTCCAAAATGGGGGTGAATTTTTCAATTAAATTTTGAAGAATTCCATTAAAGTGTCCCCCATTTTACTGGATTCTGATCCATTTCCATAAGATATTGAATAGAATGAAGCAATTTTATCCATTAGAGTGAAAAAGAATTTGAAAAATAATCGGTAATTGTCAGTTCCCAGATTGTCACTCTGTTGAATAGGGTCCTATAATAGAATTATTCTTGGGGCAATTATTGTACCTGGTCACCAGAAACCATGCAATGTGTTCATTGTCAGGTGACATCCTGCAGTAGGTCTTGATGTGTGGACTGGCTCTAGAGCGCCCTCTTGTGTTGGCAATCCACTGGCTATAAAGTGAAAAGAAATGATTGTCATTCTTTATACAGGATTTGTTAGTACAGGGTTAAATTCAGTAGGGACGCACAACTGTTTATGACTTTCTCTCACTAATGTCTTGGGAATATCGCAGGAATGGGGGCGTGGCCGTTTTATGTAAATTAGACCGTTGGTGTAAATATTAATACCGTCGAACAAAATTACGGCTTCCTATTTGATACCGCAGTACGTAGTCGCACACGGTATCACTGAGTTGCATGTGTAATTAGCTATGCTTGATCACCACACTTCGAAGTTGAATTTCCGCATGTAACACGTATATTAACAACTATCGTGCGGCTTGCGCGGCGCGCGCGACTGACTATAAACCAATTTTCGATTGTTTGGTTCCCTAGAAAAGCCTAGGGAGAAAATATAGAAAAAATTAAACTGCTACTACATAATTCCAAGACGTTAGTGCGAGCAGGCGCGCTGGTCTAATTATTGTGTTGTTAGAGGGCTCACTATGCACGACATGCTGTCAATCACTGGAATCTTGGGCCAAGACTATGTGCCAACATGCATTTGTCTTGAAGATATAACCTTGCAACTTCATTGTCCGCCACAGTTCCACACAAAGATGCACATAAAAATTAAACCTCATAAACAAACTCATCACACACAAAAATCCCAAATTAAATCACAAGCAATTAAAAGGTAAAAATTGAAAATTCTTCTGCACAAGACAGAAAGTTGTGTGCAAATTATGTCATTCCCCCCCCAAAAAGTTGCTATGCACATGCAAATAGTGAGGTAAAGTACAGGGTGGTGCAAACAGAAGGAAACCAACTTTTGACAGGAATTTTAACCTAATTACCTAACTTATTTGAACTGTGTTTTTTTTTTTATAATGTAGTGTAGTATAGCCTTTGAACCATACCTGGTGAAAAAAAATCTTTAAAAAAAATCGCAAAAATAGTGTTATTATGCTAATTTGAATACAAGTCACCAAAATCACATTTGTCCACGTGTAAGTCTAGTGTAGTGTTTTTAAATCAAACTCCGGAGCCCAGTCAAGAGGTTAGAATAAAACCGTCCGTGGACAAACAGGTTTGGCACAGGACGTTTTTAAAGTAATATATCTCAGAGACAAAATGTTTGCAATCATTTTCTCGTCACTTATGTTTAAAGATCAATAGTTTAATACAATTAAACTGAATTTTAAAATATGCACAACAAGTAGATGAAAATTGCTGTCAAAAGTGGGTTTCCTTCTTTTTGCACCACCCTGTAGAGGAATAGTCAAGAGCATCACCCATCCTCCAAAGAACCCTTTCTCTGGTCAAACTTCTGATATATCTAAGCATGCAAATTTATGCGGCCCCGAACTCCAGCAAATCGGAGTTGACTTTTACTAAATCGTGATGTCATTTCATTCCAAAATCAATTCGAATGCAGTATTTGTAATACAACAACGGCCGGGCATAGATCTATAAAACCTACAAGGCACCTACAAGGGGCATCCTAGCTGTCAAAGTCAGTTGAAAATTGGTTTCAGCCGCACTGCACCATTTGCATGTTCATAAGTGTGCCCACTTAAGAGCAAGTTCGATTGCAAACTATCATTACAACCATGAGATGTAAGGAAGGTTGAAGTAAAAAAAAGAAAAAAGGGCTATTGTACTTACTGTAGGAAGGAATGGAAGTACACTTGTTTCTTGGCTGTCTTGATGCTGTAGGGTATTGACCCGCCCGCTGGGTAACCCTCTAGACTGGTCCGAACATTGTCCTTAGACGGAAAGATCTAGGGAGGAAGAATAGTATATTTTTCGAGTTCAAGCCCAGAGAATAATCTTTTTAATTACTGTTTTTAAGCAGTGCTCCTCCATTGATAAAAATGTAAATTAGCCAAACCCCAGCCTAAGAAACAAGCCCTAGAACAACTGAAGCGTGTCTCTTTGTAAAGAATGTTTATCATCAATGGGTGCTGTCCAACAGGCATGCTGTCGGATGGAACATGAGCAGATGAGATTGCTGATTTATACACATTAAGTGTTCTGCATTGGGGGCCTTCATTTAAAAGACCGTGAAGGTACTCTAGGGTTTCGACTAGAGAGGCTTGAACTGCATCAGTTTGTCTTTGAACACACCAGCTGTTCCATCGTTTCCAGGCCCAGTTAATAAACTGGGCATTTGTCCCCCTTGCACCATGACGACACTCCCTCCAGAATACTCTTGCTGACAAGGATCGTCTGATAGCATCCAAATGGCCAACTGCAGGGTCTTCCACACTGGTTGACCCTGATTATTGTGACATAGTCTCAGGAGGTCCGGCTGACGTTTAGAAGTAAAACTGGAGATTTTACTGTAAGTTCCAGCAAGCGAGGGTACCAAGACTGTGTTTTCCACACAGGAGCTACGAGTATCAAAACAATTCTTCTGGAGGCATCTCATCAGGAGAGCAAATGGGGGAAACAGTCAAGCGCCCACATTTTTCCAGTTGATTGTGAATGCATCCACTCGCCAAGCCTGACAATCTGGATGCCATGACACACACTGTGGAAGTTGTCTGTTGAGATCAACTGTTGGATGGAAGTCTATCACTTGAATGATTTCTGCAAACACCTGGGGAAGTAGATGCCATTCTGGTCGGTCAAGGAGAAGTAAGGCAAGGCGAACCCACTTTTCTGCCCCAGGTTGAGTCCCTGCCCAAGGCAAGACAGTGGCTTTCTCCATGCGGTCGACCCCAGGTGAGGTCAAAACCAATACGGTAACAACCGTGGCACTGAAATTGCCACTGGAAGCAGAGCTGGACGTCGCTCCCTCGTCACCTAGCGGCGGTGCTGGAAGATTGCTTGCTCTTCTTACTCAAAGACGAAGACAGTATGAAAAACGTAGCAATGTCAGAGTGTAGAAAACCAAGACGACGACGACGTGAAACACGTCCCTTTCAGACCATACCATATAAAACCAAGACACGCTTCAGAGGTTTTAGGGTGTATTTATCAGGCTGGGGTTTGGCTCATTTACATTTTTGTCAATGAGGAACATTCAATTTTATTCAAAGTAAAGGGTGGTTCAGACAGTATTACGTGGGACAATAATACAGGGCGAGTCTTGACGACTAGGAAGAAATATAGTTCAAATGTGTTGAAGAGCATGTGAGAGCAACTTTATACGTAACTCCCATGAAATTTCACTTATTAAAAGTTTAGCTATGAATAATAATTCTTTACACCTATTATGCTTCACACTAATTTTAATATGTAGTTTAAATCCCTCATTAGTGGTTATATGGAGGGCCACAGATTTTAGATTAGGGATGACAAAAATTTCAACAAAAGTCAGTTGTACCCATCTGCCTCTTAGAACATCCAAACCCAATACCTCTGTTCAAAAGAAGACCCCCACAACACTCTCCCCACAACATTATATTACTGCTAAATTTTACTTCCACACTCCACCTCCCAAAACAATCTGATAATCTCACCAATTTCAATGTCTTGTGTCCTGACTCCCCTTGCATCTTCCTTCCAGAGCCTTCGCACTGTGACAGGCTCTGCAGCCACTCTCCGCACAGCCATTTATCTTTGTCGGGGCCGAGGGAGCCTACGCTGGAGAATTGACCAATCACGGGCCAGCCTTTCACATTGGCCTCGCTTGGTCCACGCTCCTTGAGGACCTAAAATGTGGTATACATGTACATCAAGCCGCCTATCAGTGGTGGGTTACAACATCCACCTACTATGCCTTGACGGTAAACTCTCTCTTGAGTTATAAGCCATGTTTCCCTCATACCATGAAAGTTGAAAATTAACCCTAACTCCCTAGGGGGTGTGCAAAATTGTATTAAATTTGGAGGATTCAGGACTGTTAGGGATAGCTATGATATTCGTTTGCTGATATCTTGAATATATTCTCCATTTTCTTGTCTCTGTTCACATTATTGGTTATTAGTTTGTAGCTCAGAGATGAAACTGGCATATGGCAAAAAAATCGGAAAATAGGCCGAACAAAAATACGTGTCCGAAATCTGGGCCGCGCTGCAGTTACACACATTATACATGTACATGTATGTGCAATACACTTCATGCCCAATTTCCGGACACCAGCTCCTGCTTTATTTTCGATTCAAACAAAATTTTGCGATAAAGAAAATGGTCAGTGTTTTCATTGCATAAAACGCCTGAAAAACGGTTAGAGTAATGGAGTCATCATCAAAGAAGTTCACTTCTTACTTGAGAAAGTCGAGGAAAAAGTCCGAAAGACAAGGCACCGTTCATGGTGCTTCAATCATGTCCATGATTCAACCAGGCGGCACAACTTATTCGTACGTGGGGAAAAATCAGGCATTATCGTCTTTCTCTTCCAACAAATGCCAGTGAAATGTTTCGCTAATGCTCTCTTCGCTTTCCTTGAGATAATCATTATGATTTTTAAAGCATTGCATTTTGTACAACTAAATCTGAACCTCCGAAAATCGCACAACATAATGATTTTATCCACCGGATCGTTCACAAGCAAGGCTACCTGTTCCCGACCGGCCGTGTGCTAGCGGACGGTACGGTGCGGTACGTGCGCTGGTATCATTGCGTACAGTACATGCACGCACGTGCGACACAGTTTTTTCCATGTCACCTGTCAAAGTTTAACCTTTTGTCCAGCCGGAAAAGGCACCGATCAGTGTTATGGCCTGTGTTTCTACCGTCCACTCCAATAACGACTGGTGAAAGAGATTAAAACTACGTTCGCGATGATTTTAACGTGCCATTTCCATCGACTATTCATAGATTTTCTGCAAAATTATGATTGCAATAAAATGACATTTTGTGAAAATATGGTTACACAAAATCAAATTTTGTGGGACACATTGTAAAAAAATCGGAAATTTCGTTGGAAAATTCTAAAAGTCGGATTTCCGATTAAAATCGGAAAAGTTTCATCTCTGTGTAGCTAAGGCCTACCTATAACCCCACACTAATCTTTCAAATCCGTATGTTTACACAAGCAGGTTCTACTCAGAACCATGCTTAACTCACAAAAGAGATTCACATAGTTAAGTTCATCATGAGTCATAACAAAATTGATTTGCAAGTCAAATCACAAGACAATCACAAGTAAGATTTCAAAAAGCGGAGAATATACCTCTTTCACCATTCATGTGAATGTATTTGAGTCTATGTGACTTGTAACGGATTGTGAGTGATCCATGAGATTAAACCCGTCAATTTAATTATTTGCTCACCTTTCGCAGCTTCAGATGGCCCCATTTGTTAATGGCTCCTCCGATGTGCCTTCCTGGCACAGATCCAACAATGTGTACCCTTTAAAAAATAAGCAAACAATTCTAGAATAGTTCTATTGTATTAATGTAAATGAGGGTTGCCTGTGGACTCTGTGCAGAAATGGTACGATGACACTGTGTGATCACTTATGAGAGCACCCCGTTCCGATGGAACTGTGTGATCACATTATGAGAGCTCCACTGAACGGGAAGCCATCTGACTCTAGGGGGCACTGTTTCAAACATGTGTGTATGCATACAAGTACACATATATATGCTCCATTTAAAACCCATTCGCTGCAGTACGTACTGTCAAATTTACGTGAAATGGGTGGTGGAAGGACGATCATTATCATGAAGCTATTATATGGAAAAAAATTAAATTAAATATTCAAAATTTTAAAGGGAAGTAAAAGTAGCTATTAAACCCATGAGCACGTGCGCATGCAATGCATGTACTACCACCCAACTGCTTGTTGCTAGTGCCAGGGAAGGAACACCAAACGATTTAGCTCCTACACTCCCAACTATGCAACAGTTGTGATGGCACAGATGTTTGCTGGTGGTACATGTACCATACTGAAACCATTACAACAGACAGACATGGATTTCCTACATATTTTTTGAAAATGAAACTATGTATGGAGTGTACTAAAGCACATTGTTTTTTTTCAGGAAGAAGTGTGAAATTACTGGTCTTTGGTGTTATGGCTGATTTTGATTAGCTCCCTCCACTTTTTGTCAGAAGGCAAATCAGCCAACACTCGAGACCAGTAGTTTTGCACTCATTCCCTCTAAAACCACATTTTGTATACTTTCCACCTACTTGGCTTGTGACATATCGTGCGTCCTGACGTGCCCTATCCATTCTTGGAGTGATGGTGACCGGTAGGCTGTCAGATACTCAACTAGGTCTCGTTGGAAGGAGGTTGGGGAGTCAGTGACAGTGCCAGGGCCTGCCTTGGGGAAGAGAGGACTGATCCAAACACTAAAACAAACAAACAAAAATAATAAGAGAGGTGTGAATATGGGAAACAAATAATAAAAGAAAATAAAAGGTTTTGTGGAAATTAGGTGTGGCCTAATAAGTTACTCTTCATTTTATGGATTGTGAAAGCTCTACTTTATAAAAAATTTCAAAGTTTCACAAAATCTCCAATCGTTTTCTTTATTCAACCTTTCAATTAAAGGGAATATACAACATTTGCAAGCATCGAAAAATAAAACTACCAAGTTTTTACGAAATACCTTACTAGGATGTTGGTAAATGCCAACCTAAAGCATCCTTTAAAATTATGGCACCTGGTGTCAAGTCATTTTCAAGAAAATTGTATTTTTGTATACATTTCCAACGGTGGTCGGCCGACCACCGTTGGAAAAACCTAACTATCAACTACTGCTCCAATTTACCTTTTTTTTTCAGTCCAGATTTTGTTTGCTATTGGTTACAAGTTCATGAACGGGTGCAGGCCAGCTAGACTGGTTCCCTTACCTTACAATTTTCTGACATCTATAAATTGATCCATTTTATCTTTAGTGGAGTCAGGGAACCAGACTACTTAAACATTTTTGTTTTTCTTGGTTTTTCAAGCATTTTCGGAACACAAAACTTCAAACATGTCAGTTAAACAATATTTGATCTATTATACTAACCCCTCAAAAAGTTCATTTCTGAAAATTGCAGCAAAAGCCAATGATGTATATCCCCTTTAAAAAACAAGCGCAAGTGCACAATAAGCTCTGGCCCGGTTCCGGAATGTCTCACTTCATATGCAAAATAGATGAGCAATTGCATCGATAGAGACAAAGGGGCGAGTTCCGAAAACTTTTACCAAGAGTGCATTTACTGACGACGGCATTGCATTTGGTCAAGTTTTGGTCAATTTATTGGAAAATTAGGGGGCTCGATTTTGGTCAATTTTCCACGGACAGACCTACCGACCGACTGACCACGAAGTGACATGTTGAAGCTCCTGCCTGAGCTTAAAAATACATCTAGTCAGTTTCTCTTTTATAAACAGGTCTATGTGCATGACCTCGAAGCCACATAGAATCTTTTGCAATTACCCTGAGAAATACCTACCAATTTAATGACAGAAACCTTGCTCAAGATAGGACTGGTATCAAATACTCTGTGAAATTATTCTGTCTGAAATGGTATCATTTGGAAGATGGTTTTAACAAGAGTTGCAAAGGATGAAGGTTAAGCAGCAGAAATGGATGAACCACGGCAAAGACCATACAGAGAGCAAGGTCATAAAGGGTCAAAGGTCATGAGGTAACATTTGGACATACCCCTGAGTTTTCTGGTACCAGTCTCTGTCAATCATATTGGCTGTATGGATGACCACACGCATGCCATTGGTGTACAACAGCAACATCATCTTGCTAAATGAGAAAAAGGAAATTTTCAAAAGCTACAATGAAAATTATGAAAGTAACATTTTAATTAGTCTCGGGTCCTAGCCAGGATATAGATTTGATTCCCTTTACAGCTAGTCCCAGACTCTAATGGTAAAGCCGCTGCAGTGAGTCAAATTTAGTCTTGGGAATTTCGACAGCAATACCCAGGAAATTCCATACATACCTCACGCGCGCTGTGTTCATGCTAATGCACACACGTGAGGTACACAAATGCTTGGAATCTCCTGGGTGGCGCTGCCAAAGTTTCCAAGACTTGATTTGATTGATTTTGTTGATAGCGACCTCTACGGAGAGAGAGACCGAGTCAGAGACCAGCTGTATTAGGAGAATGAAACCAACTTCAGTCTTAAAGGTAGAGTCCATCATTTGCAGCCATCCAAAAAGTAACTGGCGTAATTATTGTTGAAAAACTAACTTGGTTGAAAGATAGTAAGGAGACTAAACTCCCTGTGAAATTATTCTTTCTGGGAAGCTGTCATTTTGAAGTAATCAACGAAAGAAGGCAGTTCCAACGGTGATTCTTAAGAAGCACCGTAGGAAAATTTAAATTAGTAGTTCGTTTTGTTATTCAGCGCAGCGCGCACAAGTATTCGAACGACGCACACGCGCGCGCGGTTGTTATAATTCGTCGGATCAGTGCGCGACGTCGCGTATAGTTGCAATTCAAAACAATTCAAAACATGATTCAGCAACTTTTGATTTGAAATTGAGATCTTAGAATGCTGTTTTTCTCGGAATGTACAGCTGAAGCTTAGCTGAAACTTCATCAGGTTAGTTGCTCAGTATCCTTCATTAGATTTTGAACTCTTTTGTTGCTTCAAACGAACAAAATGCACAAATTACAAATGATGGACTACACCTTTAATTGTTGGAATAAGACTGCATTTCAGTAGGTGTATCGTCTTTGGAAAATAATTGGCAGTGAAATCGGACACTGAATCACATTAAATTAGAACTGGCTGAACTGGAAAGCACTGTTTCTGTAAGACCACCACTAAATCTTCAATGTTTCAGTTTCATGGCCTTGCCAGGATTTTTTCTAGAGGGGGGCAAAGCTCTCAAAAACCTTGTACTTTCTCTAGCATATTCACAATTTATCATTTTTCAAGATTGGGCGGGGGATATTTGCCCACCCCATCCCCACTGTCACCCCTGCAGATGCCATGGATGTTGTTAAATGTGCATTAATTTAACAGCAATATGACTTTGCATCCACATCTTTTTCCCCTTTTTTTGGGGGGGGGGGGGGAGCGCCCCCTTGCCCCCAAACAAGATGTGGGTGCAAAGTCATATTGGGAACAATTCAGTGTCCGATTGCAATGTATAAATACATTGTAATACATGTACAATAAAGTCCAGATGCTAATTAATAATTTACTACTACTATTCATTATTTCCTTTCTCTCACCCCTGAGTTCCTACACTCTACCTACCTGTGATGTGTGCCATACATGATATCCAGCTTGGCCTGGCATAGTTTGATGTTGGGGTAGGGATGAGCAGCCTCATGGAGGGCTACTTTGCTCTGCCGTTGCTCCCCGTGTACAATGAGCAATGGCTTAGTCCTGTCATGTGCATCAGCAAACAAATGCACTAAATTATAATTATATCTTTCAAATAATTAAACGACAAAGGGAAATTCACCAATTTCATTTTAATTTCAAAGTTGAAAAAAGAAATTGACTGGAACAGGGACTGAACCTGTGATCTCCAGATAACCATTCCGGTGCTCTAGCTACTGAGTATCCACCCGTATATGATGGTGTTCCCCAGTTTGTCAATTTCTTTCTTCAAGGGGTGCTAGGCAGGAGCTATAAACCCACATGTGCAATATGTAGCATATATGACACTCAAAGTCACAACGCTAGCAACATTAGCATTGCTACAGAGCAGGCAAATAGCTCATAGGGATCGCTAAGAGAGCCTCATATATAACAGGGGTGTGAGTGACCACTGATAAAAGTAGCTGAACACAGCTGAAAAAAGGTGTAAAAAAGCTGAATGTTAAAAATCTCCTATGGGCCTACTTTTGTACACAGCAAGTGAGGGAAAGATCTGGAAAAAAACCCTGAAATCCAAAACAAAGCTGAAATCAGCTTTAAAGCTGAGATTTCACACCCCTGATATAAGTTATGGCTTTTTATTACAAAGTTTCAAATAAAGGAAACTGACTAGGTACATTTGAAAAAATTGAAAGTTGAACAAAGAAATTGATTGGAGGAGGGTTTGAAATGGTGACATAAACAGTTAATTCAGGCCTAGCGCGGTAAGACTAGTGGGAAGTATAATCAGGGGAGGAAATCTACCAACTCCAACTCAAGGACTCAGAAGAATGAAATTGATGTTACATTTCTCGGTCAAGAATTGTTTTGCTTTAAAATATATTTTACGTTCTTCGTACTTCAGACTGCCCACAAAACTTATCTCACATTCCTTTCAAATACTTCTCCAATAACTTTCTAAGTTTTAAAAACACAAAAGGGCGGTAGAACAGTTCTGTGGTGATGAATTTGGAACCAACAATTTACATGAGTCAACAATAGGGAAGTGATTTTGCAATTAATTTAGTAAAGGTTTAGCAAATATTTTAAGAACCGTTTAAATGTTTAGACATTTCACAAAGGCTGACACCTGCGCAATTGAATTGATAAATCAACAATGATTGACATAATAAATAGCAGGCAGTTGCGCCATTGAAAAAGGAAAAAAGTAACTGTACATGTACCCTGAATGTAGTCAAGTACTGCTGCGCTTCTAAGGTGTTGTAAATTAAATAGGTTTGAAAACATTGTTAATTATTTGTGCTACGTATGCTTAACTCATGGGAAGATTGCATGAATGTTGCTACCTTTTTAGATTTTCGTTTAAAGAGTTTGGAAAATTTGGAAAACGGATTGACACGTTTTGTTGTTTAAACGTTCAGATGTTTAAAAACGTCTGATTCACAATAAACTATGTGCAGTGTGAGCAACCAGAAGTTTTCTGTGTGTGTGACACACTGCTTTCATATGAAATGCTATATTTGCGCATCATAGCGAAGTGTATGTATCAAACTTTTTCCCTTCAATTGACACACTTTTCCTTCATCACATGTTTTCCTTCATCTTACCGGAACTGACCGGGATATTGCTGGACCAACCATGGAATATCAAACATGTAGTTGAACTGAGCTGAAGCAATCAGGTCACCCATGCACGGTGACAAGATTTCTGGCAGAAAAAAAATAAACAAATACAAATATGTCACTGATACAAAAATGACACTGGTGACAATGTCAAAAATAGTGATGACATCATCATACCCAAAGGTATGATGCACATACAATATAATGACAACCAATTATAGCACAGCAGCAAAAGTAATATCAAGATTAAAATATAAACATCAATACAAACATTTTGCACTTATAATAAAAAAGTAATTAAAAAAATTAATCACTAATAATAGTGATAAGAGATGACAGAAATTTCCCCGCCCTAAAAAAATTCATACTCACCTAATGAACAAGGTTATTATTAACCCTAACTCCCTAGCATGATTTACTAGGAACCATACACATCCTGGCAAATTCCAACACCACACGGGAAACTGTACACACATATTTCTGACTTTGATTCTGGAGGTGTGCCAACCCAATGTAAGAGACTGTCAGTTTAGGGGTACTGTACCCATCCTGACAGATTCCAACAAAACATGTGGTTGGGGTTTGATGGGTTGAGCTCTGTTAGGGTTAATGTAATCAAAATGTTGCCTTAGGCAACGTACCGTTTGGCTAATGTTGATGTAACTCTAAATCCAGAAAGGGAGACCCTAGCATTTGAAGTGATTCTATTCAGAAGCCTGAGATCCACTTTTTACTTCAAAGAGGAGATCTCCAATTATAATCTAAAGCTTGTAGGACTGATCTGGTTTTGATGCAACTATGATCATACTCAACTAGATACACTGCCTGAAGCATCAAGAAAGTAAGGAAGGATACGAAAATGACGTTCATGATATACTGTGAATTAAAAGTTTGACATCAACTCTCTCAAGCATTTTGTCAGTAACCTTTATGAATCCTCTAAAGAAATCCATCATCATGCAGGAATCCAATGGCAAATTCATTTACTTGAACTATCATTATCAAGGGTTATCTAACTTCATCAAATCTTCAAGAACTGTATAGGAAATTTTGCAGCATTTTTGAGGGTTTCAAACATACCTGATATGTGCACAGCTAAGGAGTTGTTGTATTTATCGGGTATCCCCGTGACTTTCGTGAGAAGGAAACAGAGTGGTGAAGCTTCTCTGAGGAGTTCTAAGCAATTCTTCTTCTTTGATGCAGATGTAACAGTTGAGGCAGATGAGGAGGCAGTATCATCCCTCTTCAGTCTCTTGGTGGGAGGCATTCCCTCTTCATCCTCATCTAATGAGGTAACAGAAGTAACAAAAAGAAATTTACTCTGTTTCCATGAGCAACGTACTTTCTGGAACCGGTTCTGGTTCTCTAAAAAGAACCAGTTCCGAGTCAGAACCGGCTCCCAGAAAATTCAATGAATAACCATCTAATATTTTCCTGTGAAACTATGGAGATGTGTTATTAAAAGCAAACTTAATAGCATTTACAAATGTATATTGCTTTATTTTCTATTCCTTGACTATGATTTTATTTACAGCGACAACTGCCGACTGTGTAGAATGATTCAATGCACACGTTCACTACTCACGTGAGTGAGAACAGACACTGAATCTCCACTGTACTGTGGGCATACTTGGAACCTGCTCTGAGTGCTGGAGTCGGCTCTGGTGGACTTGGGTGAAGGTATAAAATACCCGGCTCCGAAAGAGTCACGGATCTACCAGGCTTTAGTTGCAGTGAATCCACACGGTCGACAGTCGTCGTGGTGAACAAAGGAATTTTAAGTTTGCTTTTTATTACACGATCTACATAATTTCACAGGAAAAAGACATGCATTTGAAACCAAATATGTAACAGAATAACATGTAATGCATGTTGGCGATATCACATGATCGAGGCACCATGGAGCATGACCTTCACAAGGTGACACCGTTTTCTTTTGGCATGACAAGTAATTTCAAGGGATTATGATTTTCACTGAATTTTCCGGGAGCCGAACCAGACCTGCCTCTAAAAATTCTGGAACTGCCAAACACAAAACAGCACTGCTACATTTTATGTACAGCATGCTCCATCTACAGGCCAAACTGATGACTGCTGTACAGGGGTACCTTTTTCAGGTAAACCCTGTGACTAACAGGGATTGAAATACCCACTGAACTGCTTGACTGAGTCAAGTGCTGTGTTGTGCATTCTTGATTGAACTGGTGGTATGGTGGTTTCTGTCCCAAAAGTTAATAAATTCTCCGTTTGAAAGTTTTCAGGAACTTGGCTTTCAGCTTTCAAAATAAATACTTTTCAGAGGCCTGCAATGTTGGTAAATGTTAAAATAGTGTACATTTTGTACCTGAATGCCGAAACTCCTTCCTGTGGCTGATATTCTTCCGGTAGCATTTTGCACCATACTGGCACTTGGGTTTGTCACTATCAGTTTGGTTTTCGCTCAGATCACCAGGAGTTCTGTTGTTGGCCTTGGAGACTGATGCTGATGATCGGAAGGCAGTTTTACCAAATGAGATAGAGGAGGAAGTTGAGGAAGAGACTGAGATTCATGATTAATGAGAATTGATAACAGATAGTATTCAAGGGTTTTTTTTGGGAGGGGGGGGGGGGGGGGTTAGGGGACTAACCACCCAATACTTTACTTTCCTTCTGACAATCATTTCTGATTATACTGAAAGTCACAAATTTATATTGTAAATGTCCTCACTGCTTGAGGACTTTGGTCTACTTGTATATGTTTGTTCAACTCAGCCACACCCAACCCACTTGGACAATCCTGGATCCAGTAATGGCATCTTCCCCTTAAACTTGGAATGTTTTCTCAGCCCTCGAATACTTGAGTGATGGATGTGAAATTTGGCAACTTCCCAACACTTTTACTGAGCAGTCAATCTGATATGTGCACTAAAATAATTCTGTTACCCAAATTCTTCATACATGTGTACACATTTACTCAAAGTTCTTTATACATGTATACACATTTCAGCCTAGGATATCCCAGGTGCAGGATCTAAAACTGGGAAATATCTACCCAGGATATCCTCAGTACTGAACTGATGAAACAGAAGATACAATGTAATAACTTCGATAGCTAATGGATGATGTTTTATTAAAAATGTGTAAAGACATTTGGAGTGAACTGACAGGGCCAGCCTATATATGGATTATACACAAGTATGTCCACATTAATAGTGACAGAGTTTGGAAGACTGTTGCATCGGTATGCCTGGCACTCATGCAAGACACTTCCAGTTTATGTATGGTTGCACTTTCAGGATAAATACGTCATCTTGCACCATATGCACATCAACCAGTGTGCTTATTCAGTGTGTCCTCAACAGATAACTCTTTGATTGGTTATGAAGTGTCATCCACTGTCCATGCATAGATTCCATAAGCTCCTACTGTCACTGTTACGCCCCAACTGTAGCAATTGCTATAGTATCATTGGGACGATACCAATACCAGTTAGGGAGTCCTAGCTATAACTGGGGCAATTCCAACTATAGTTGGGACCGTCCCAAGTATAATAGGGGTGATACTATAGTTGGGGCGTAACATCACTACCTTTTAACAGGAAACTCACCCTTGCCTTTGCTTCTTCCAAGCAGCAACTGGGATGGTCCCTCTGAAGTCTCAGAGTCAGAGTCGGAAATGTCATGGCCGGTGGCTGAGCGTTTCAGGGTGACAGACACCTCAGCTGATGCAGCACTCTGATTGCTTGGAGATTCTGGGAGATCCAGTCGGTTTACATTTTCAGTCTCATCTTCTTCAATGTACGTTGTGTCTGAATCGGTGTCCGACATGTTAGAACTAATCTTTCTCAATGTATGGATCTGTTGATGTTTTGCTCAGGCTTCCTGTTGACATATGACCTCTTAACTATGGTAATTGGTACCTCGGGCCATATGATATGGCCTTGGACACAGTGTACTGACTCAGCTGCAAACTTAAACAAAAAGAAACAAGGTAGAAATTACCAATGATCTTTTCTGTAGCATTCAGTCTATCGCCACATCATACTTGGTTCTTTTAACTTACAACAAGAAATACTCAGACTATTGTAAATGTTGTGTAAAATTAATGGTAGCCTACTGGAGTACCGGTACTTAAGTGGTAATCAGTAGTGGTGCAAAAAAAGTACAATAACTCTTGACTGAATTGGAATTCTCCTTCAAATATTTTGGGGAAAGTGTACTGTTGCGTACCCAAAGTCATTCCTCGGCGGACGCTAGTGAGTGGTGGAACTGACAAGGCCAAGGGAGCAAGCTTGTTTGGGGGAAATCTACCGCCGATGCAGCAGCAGGAGAATGCAGTACAGCGCTCAGGTGGAGAACAGGGTTGGGAACAGGCAGGGCACCTTAAATCACACACTGAAACTTCTTTCTAGTTTGGCACTCTATTTTATTTGCACTATCCTCAACAGGCGCTACTCTTAACATTAACCTCTACAGGCTCTGGATCTGACATCTCCACAGGTCGGAATCCCTACACAGGTTTTACATCTACAAAACACTTGACCACATTGTTAAGGGATGGATGTAGTTCCTCCTTATTAAGTTATCCCAAGTTATAACTAATCCCCAAATAACCTGAAAGAACAGCCAAAGCAGAATAATCACCCAGTAAGTTACTTAATAAAGGTACAGCTGCTTACTGACACTCACTGTAAACTGCACTGGCAAGGGACTGCGAATGAACAGTCTCTTTTTATCTCAACAGTAGATAGTTGACAAAAAACTTATATACAGTTAAAACAATAAAGACTACTAAAAGCACAAAGAAGGTGTAACGGGTTGGAATCTAAAAGTCCTTATAGTTCATTATTGGTCCACGGAAATTCCAGAAAGGATAGCAACGTTATAAATGTGCTTTGTTTTGTCCTTAATCTTCCGGTCATCCTGGTACAGTTTTCATAACAAAGTCTCAGTAACCTTGGTAACTTTTCTTGTCATGGATTGCTCCAGCCCTTCTTTATTGGTGAAGGTCCCAGATTTTCATCTCCCGGTGTACTGGACAAGTATGCCAATCCTGGACTCAGGTGCTTATCTAGCAGATTCCGTTGGCACTGGTCCCTGATACACAATAAGTTCCAGGTGAGTTTCTCCTCAGAGCGCCTTCAACTCCTCACAGTACAGGTAAGTCTCCCGTATCTCCATCACTTTCACAGCTTGGCCTAGTAAGAGATTCTCCAGCTGTTCCACTTGTGAAGCACCATACTGGCCCACCTCCTTTCTCTCCTTGCCTTGGTTGTTGCTGATCATTAGGCTGACAGATTTCCTCGTCTGGTTTGCATGGGTATTTCCTTAAGTGGATCTTCGTCTGGCTCCAAGACGGACAAAGGCGTCGGTAATGGCTCAATCTCAGCCATCTCTTTTTATAGGTCCTCAGCAGAAAATGAAAGTGGGACTCACACTCCCTCTGGAGCAGCATCCCCAACCAGTCTGTTAGCCCCATGCTCCTTCTGAGCCGGCGCTACTTCTTGAGTTGTCACAGTTATTTCCACTTTCATCAGTGACGGTTCCTCCACTTGTCCGGGTGTTCCATTGGGGGCAGATTATGCTCCCCCATCGAGTGACAAAAAATTATGAAACTCTGTACATGCACAGAACAACTTATCATGAACAAACCCAAGAAATTTCATGACTATAGGTCAAAGGGTTTTGGAATTCTGGCTACTTAATTATCCATATGCACGAATGGTAATTCTTTTGTGTACACTACGTATATTGGAAAATGTTCACCTCCCTCGGCAGTGAGGCTACTTTTAAAGGCAGTGAGGCTACTAGATATTAATGATGTGTAGTAAAACAAATACAGCATGGTTTGTGGGAAAGTAGTTGGAATTACAGGTCCCGAGGTGTAGGTCCGCTTGACTACCTCCCTCCGCTTAGCGTCGGGAGGTAGTCACTAGTCAAGCTGACCTACACCCCTGGACCAGTAATTCCAACTACTTTCCCTCAAACCATGCTGTATTTGTATACTACTGATGAGTTTAAGGATGCTGTGTCAATTAAAATCAACACCTGGTTCCTCTCACCAGTCACCTTGCTGGTTCTCTACGGGTTTCTTCTGAGGGGTCTTCCCCACTTCCGTACCTTGGACATTCATGCCCTGCACCTGCTTTGACAACCTCATCAACTGCTCTGTCAAATTATGCAGCTCGCTTTCGAGCTTGATAAGCCTCTGCTCGAGTGTACCATCACGCGTCCTTTGCTGCTTGACCCTGTCAAAGTTCTCCGTTTCTAGAGCTGCCTGGATTGCTCCATTTAAATTCTTTGGAAAAGCCAGGTTTATGCCTTCTCACACAGATTGACTTTCCACAATTTCCACTGCTTCTAGAAAGTAATTCCTTGCCAAAGGGTCACACGATTCCTCCTGTATATCAAGGAAGCGTTCTCCGTACTTTGCGTGAACAGGCTACAACTCTTTGCAACCTGTTCTGGCCCACCTGAGCCCCAATCTTCTCTATCACACTCGGCGTGCTCATTGGTCGGACTATATCCGATCCAGCCACTCTTTGGGGATACTTTCCCCAACCTCCTCTCTCTTCCCAGCCTTGGGAAGTAACTCTGGCGAGCCACCTGTAGCCGCCAGACAACTCATCTCCCAACAAGAGACATAGCCGGAACTCACTGCAGGCAACCTGAATGCTTTCTCTGAATCCACTTGCTTACTCACACACCCATTCTTCTTGGTTGTGCCTCTACTTCCCTCGATGGAAGTTTTTTAATCTTCCATGGCAGCCTCTAATTTCTTTGCAATGCTAGAGCTGGGCTTCTAACATAAGCCTCTGCAGCTCCATCTCCATACTCGGAGGACTCTTTTTACTCATACCGTTGCACTCTTGCAAACAGCACCACATAAACGTTCCTGTTTCTCACAGGGTCTCTAAACTTGGCCACTGTCCACTGAATGATTCTGGCTCTCAGATTCTTGGACTCACTTGCCGGTAGAGGAAATCTCTGTCCCAAGCTCTGTAGAATGATATATTGTCGACCGGATCCTGGGTTGTCATGCACAAGACGAAGGACACCACAGACATTATTCTTCAGGGTTTCGGGGCGCTAGGCCATTTATTCTTGCCACTTTAATTCACGAGGCTCTCTTTTTAAACAACTCACAACAAAGACTTTATACAAAATGTCACTCTACTGAGTCGGCACAGTCTGGCAACGGGTCTCCCTTGCCAAGCATCAGGGCTCCAAACGCTACGGTTGAACCATGGGTCCATGCTGGCACCCTCTGCTGGCAGCCTGGCACCGATGTTACACCGCCCCCTCCGAGGACCCTTGTTTGTCCCCGAACAAGTCTGCGTCTTTGCTGGGGTCTTTACTGGGTCTCCAGGTCTCCTGTGGAGTCTCTCAAAGGGTCTCTGCTGGGGTCTCCTCTGGTGTCTCCTTCCGAGGCTTCAGTCACCCTGTCTCCAACTTGTACACCTCCGACGGGCTGTCAAGTAATCTTGCAAGCCTCGGTGTCTCCTATCCATGGGTTCCCGTGTGGAGCAGCTCTGTCGGCTCCACACAATAGACATGCGTGCGGGGCAGCTCTGTTGGCTACGCTCCATAGACTGCTGTGCGAAGCAGCTGCGACGGCTCCACTCCATTGACTACTGTGCGAAGCAACTCCATTGGCTCCTCTGGGGTATCCTCTGGGGTCTCTGCTTGGGTCTCCTCTGGGGCCTTCTTCCAAGGCTTCAGTCGCCCCGTCTCCAGCTTGTACACCTCCGATGGGCTGTCAAGGCAATCCTCGGTGTCTCCACTCCATGGGTTCCCGTGCAGAGCAGCTGTCGGCTCCACACCACAGACTTGCGTGCAGAGCAGTTCTGTTGGCTCCGCTCCATAGACTGCTGTGCGGAGCAGCTGCGCCAGCTACGCTGCATTGACTCCTGTGCGAAGAAACTCCATCTGCTCTGCTCCACCCGGTTTTGCAGTGCGGAGCCGCTCTATGGGCTCCGCGCCATACGGTTTTGCAGTGCAGAGCTGCTCCACAGGCTCCGTGTCAAAATGGTAGCACTGCCACCAATATAAAGTCGACCGGATCCTGGGTTGTCACACGCCAGACGAAGGAAACCCCGGACACTATTCTTTACGGTTTAGGGGCTCTTGGCCATTTATTCTTGCCTTTTTCCTACAAGAGGCTCTCTTTTTATACAACTCACAATAAAGATGTTATACAAACTGTCACTGTACTGAGTCCATGTAGTCTGGCACGGGTCTCCCTGGCCAAGCAGCAGGGGTCCCAAGGCTCAGTTTCACTGTGGGTCCGTGCTGGCAACCTCTAGAGGTGGCCCGGCACCGACGTTACACTGCCCCCTCCTGGTCTCCTCTGGAGTCAGCCCTGTGGTCTCTGCTGGATCTCTGCTGGTGTCTCTGCTGGGGTCGTCTCCGTTCCATTAAGTTTTGCAGTGCACAGTTGTCTAAGGGCTCAGTGCCATATGGTTGTGCAGTGCAGAGCCGCTCCACAGGCTCCGCGCCATACGGTTTTGCAGTGCGGAGCTGCACGGGCTCCGTGTCAAAGTGGTAGCGCTGCCGCCAGTGTAACGTCAACCAGATCCTGGATTGTCACACGCCAGATGAAGGAAACCACAGACACTATTCTTCAGGGGTTTGGGGCTATGGGGCCATTTATTCTTTCCACTTTCCTACACGAGGCTCTCTTTTTATACAACTCACAATAAAGACGTTATACAAAATGTCACTGCATAGTCTGGCAAGGGTCTCCCTGGACAAGCAGCAGGGGTCCCAATGCTCGGTTTCACTGTCGTCCCCAAACAAGGCGGTGTCTCTGCTGGGGTCCCTGCTGGGTCTCCTGGTCTTCTCTGGATTCTCCCTTTGGGTCACTGCTGGGGTCTCTGTTGGGGTCTCTGCTGGGGTCTCCTCTGGGTTCTCTGCTGGGGGTTTCTGCTGGGGTTTCTGCTTGGGTCTCTGCTGGGGTTTCCTCTGGGGTCTCCTCTGGGTATTCTTGGGGTCTCCTTTGTTGTCTCTGCTGGGGTCACCTCTGGGGTCTCCTTCCGAGGCTTCAGTCACCGTCTGCGGCTTGTACACCTTCCACAGGCCGTCAAGGCAAGCCTCAGCCCGGCACCGACGTTACACCGCCCCCTTTGGACACCCTTGTTTGTCCCCGAACCAGTCGGCGTCCCTGCTGGGGTCTCTGCTTGGTCTCCTGGTCTCCTCTGGAATCTCCCTTAGGGTCCCCGCTGGGGCCTTTGTTGGGGTCTCCTCTTGGGTCTCTGCTGGGGTGTCCTGGTATCCTCTGGAGTCTCCTCTGGAGTCTCCCCTGGGGTCTCTGCTGGAATTTCCTCTGGGGTCTCCTCTGGAGTCTCTGCTGGGGTTTCCTTTGGGGTCTCCTTCTGAGGCTTCAGTCACCCTGTCTCCGGCTGGTACACCTCCGAAGGGCCATCAAGGCAAGCCTCGGTGTCTCCACTCCATGGGTTCCCTTGCGGAGCAGCTCTGTTGGTTCCACACCATAGACTCGCATGCGGAGCAGTTCTGTTGGCTCTGTTCCATAGACTGCTGTGCTCCTCCCGTGCAATAAAGTGCATCACCATGGATGTATTCGGTGAATCTGGTACTACCCAGTAATGATCCCTATGCTCCTCAACTCCCGATAGTCTCAGTTCATGCACTTCCACCTGTAGCTGTATCACTAACTCGTCCAACTGACACGCTCCTCGTCTGGATTCCCCTGCAGCACCCACCATGTTTGTTGTCCATTTCTGGAATTCTCGGCAACTCCAAGTGCTGATGGATCTGTGGTTGCTTGGTACTTTCAAACAGCATATATCCCACTTCTGATACCAAGTTGTGGCGGTCGCGCCAACAGAGTAATTCTTTGGCGGATGCCAGCGAGCAGCCAAATTAATTTGGGGGAAGTCGTCGTGGCTGAAAAACAATGCTCAGGTGGGAACAGCATCTGTATCAACTAAACAGCACTTGTGCTTCAGAAGGCAAAAGAGTTGGGAACGGGCGGGACACTTCAATCACACACTGAAACACCTTTCTAGTTTGGCACTCTATTTCATTTATTTTATTTATACAACATGTGTAAAAAGGCCCTACTCTCAACACTAGATTTTTCACCTCCACGCGTTGGTATCCATACACAGGTGTTACATTGGAAATCCCTACTTCTTGATAGTTTACATACCAAAAACACTTGGCCACATGTTAAAGCCCCATGGATGGAGTTCCTCCTTATAAATTTAGTCCAAGTAAACTAGACCGAAGTACATTGTATATGTACCAAACAGAATATAATCGCTTTACTTACGGGTACGGCTGCTCCCTGCACTCACTGCAACACTGGCAAGGGACTGCAAATAAACAGGAAAAGGAACAGTGAAGGAATGTATCGGCATGTGCGTACTCACATGTTTATACACGTGCAAATAATCTGACGCTACACAGCGCAGTGAACATCAGACTCTGGCTGACGTCTGCCGACGACATCAGACTCTGCAGCCTATATAAACTACATGCCTTGCCCCCAAAATGTGGCTCAAAGATATCAAATACTGGACTTTCTCCATATTGTGAGCCACACATGTGAAGAAAAGTTGTTTTGAGGAAATCGAAAGCGGAACTTTTTTTCATTTGATTATTATGATACATTATGGAATACCCACTTAACATATAACCAGAGAAAATCAAAAGTGCATGACCCTTGACACCGAGACAAATACTGCAATCATTTCTGGACAGTGGACGAACTCGCCTGCAAACTTCGCCTGAAAATTACAGGATAACTAAACTGAATTCAAGGTTATGTGGTTATTAACCAGCTACATGTTTTTTCCAAAGTTATTTTTTATTAGTGAATTTCAAGTGAAAAAAAAAAACCCACAGTTTCAGTTTCGATTTCCTAAAAATCCAACTTTTCCTCATACACTGCTGATACTTCTAGAATATAGAAGGCACCCAACGCAAGTTGTGCCCCGCTGACTGCCGGAGAAAATTTGAGGGGAATAATGCCATACATGGACATCATTATTTTTTTCCCTTCCGTGACCCATCAGCCATCAGAAAGCATTAACATGTCCCAAAAAGTCAAAATTTGCAGGGAAAATGTTGAAGCATTTTTGCTTCAGTATTTTCCGGTATAAATACTGAGAAAACGCTTGAAATTTATCAGACCAATCTGATAGGGTTTGTGCACAGGGTGTCAAGTGATGTCCAGGTATAGGCCATGAGAATGAAAGTTTTAGATTTGCGTCCAAAACATTTCCAGATGACAGGAGGCTTTTTTCATTTTTCATTAATTCATTATTTTAGTGAAAAATCAATCTCTTGACAGTCTTTTTAATCGGACGGCAGTGGATGCTGCCCACACCATGCCATAATTCTAGAACATGACAGCGGGTCTGACACGACAACGGACCACTATCGGATCCCATTCAATCGTTGAAAAATCTTACACGAACATGCTCCACCCATCCAGTTCATTCATTGTAACCAAAAATAAACATGATAAACAATAAAATATGCAACGAAATGTACAGTTTCAGGCAAATCAGTAAAATGTTTAGTGAAAATATTGAAAGGAAATGGGCCCACTCAATTAACTCGATCATGAAAAAAAAATCAAGAACAGTCACGCACTGACAGCACTTGCATGCAGAACTGCATGTGGGACTTGAGATGAAAGTATCCACTGGTTGACTCAGTGAGTGCCACAATCAAAGGACCAATGAATCAGATCAAGCGATAGAAGCAGTGCTTGGTAAATGCCGAATGGAATGGGGGAACCCGTGGAAAAAAACCCAAATGCTGCGCATGCCGCGCCGACACACAATGTATGTATACCACTTGATGTGTACTTTGCTATGCAAATGGCGAAGTCTCAGTACAGTAGTGGCCGTGTCGTCAAACATGCACACCATACTGCAGGGGAATATTAGTGATGTCCATGTATGGAGTTCTTCCCGTCTTGTTCATTACTTTCGTAACCATTTCCCTGAAAATCTGCTAAAAACTAAGTATTAAAAAACCAAACTGCATGGATCTTACTCAAGTTACTGTCGATGTCACGACTATCGACGCAACGTACGCACGTACGTACGTTTACACATGGCGCGCTTGGAAAGCGCCACCAAGAGTTTGTGGTTAGAAGGACAAACATCGACGCGATATACATTACACTCACTCAGACAGTCATGATATGACCTGAGGCTGATGACAGTTGCAGTGCAGTTTTTTTCGAAGATTTTCTCGTATTTAGGGGAAAACCTTGTTGTTGTGTCAAACAATGGAGCTATAATTTATTCTTGAGTTGCAGCCATGGCAGTTCACCTGGATGTCAAACAAGCAGTCGATGAATTCGAGACCTTGTTAAGCAGACTGCATGCTCGCAATTTGCCAGAGTTTTTCGAGCTGGTTGAGGAGCGAATCTCTCGGGAACGCAATGGATCTGGAGGGGACGGTGTACCGGTGGTGGTGAAGGGTGCAGAAGCAGGTGTTGAGACTGGTATGGCACTGGTAATGCCGGTCGTGCAATTTGAAGGGTTGTTTATCAGGAAGCTGATAGCTCTTTCATCAGGCCCGCCGTACGGGGGGGGGGGGGGGGGGGGGGGGGGTCCAACTCAGTCATTGCAAAAAGGTGGAAAAGACTAGTTATTCCCCCATGGTCCGAGTAAGTAGGACTCTACAAATCGCCTTTTTTAACATTTGGAGATGGTCGGGCGATAGTAGGGTCCTAGGATCATTAAGTATGTATACATGACGGTATCAATAACCTCTTTTGACCATTTTCACTCGTACCCCCTATCAATTTCTGCAGATTTCACCCCCAAAACAGTCCTCAAGTCAACTGTTACTCCCATAAATGTGACTGAAATACTGGACTACCTCCGTATATCAGTCACAGAGCCACATACGGCCTGTGAGCGGAGCATTCCGTTGCTAGGGGAGCCGAAAATTAATTAAAGATCAAAATTATTTTGTCAGCAGAAAATCAACCCAGCTATAGTATGACTGATAAATAGCACAAAATCGTTAAATTCGGTACCTTCAGAGGTCTAGTTATCCAAAAATCATGGAAATTTGTCACGGTTTTGAAAATGCATGGCGTCTCTGATATTTACCAGACTGTTTCCCGGCCACCCTAATCATAGTCAAAAGGCAAATGGGGTCAGGGAACTAGACAAGAGCTTTAGTCATCTACTGAGCGTGCGTCAACTTTGGCAAAGCGCATCGCAGCTGTTGCCTGTCATTCCAAAATCTTTGAAGCCCCCTTCAGTGAATGCAGGACAGGTATGTCATAGGTAGAGGACAGGGTTTTGAATTTTTTGAGGGAAATAAATTTTGTGATAAAACGAGGGCGAAAAACCCAACACGAAAATAAGGATTGCGATAACCGCAACACACCTTGAATACGCAAAAACTGCATTGATTCAAATGGCACCAACTGTAAAACACGTGAGAAAATTACAACTTTCTACTGCAACAAACAGTTTGAAATTACCAAACAAACGTGTCATCAGAATTAAGAGGAGTTTGGGTTCAACACTTCATGAAGGGTAGATTGGAAAAGTGCTAGTACATTTTCAACTAATTTCACATTGAAATACAAGTTTCTTTCAATTGGATTTCGGTTAAATCAATCACTTATCTCTTAAAATCAAGCAGAATCTGTGGTTAAGTTGTTATAAAACAAATATTGACTTTTTATGTCGTGATGTAGTAAAAAACCTGGGCTCCCTCAGTGATCCATATTATCCTCGGCTATGCCATTGCCTCAGAAAACCAGAACACTCCATGGATCACCTCGTTAGGCTGGTTTTATTTCACCAAAAATTAGTCTTTTTTTATAACCACACCATACATGTATGTTTATGACTGTTTCTGATCTTCGTACTTGACATCTTTGTCTTGAACCATCCACAGAGGAAGCAAGCAACAGTGACATCATGATGCACAGCATAGCTGAGGATCTACGAAGTATGCCGTACATTCCCCCAGACGCTGTGGTCAAGTCAGAGAGGTTATTCCATCCAACTTCTGGCGAGGTATAAATCCTTTGACTGTTAACTTTTACCTTCCTATAATAATGCAACAAGGTGGAACAGCTGCAAAAGTGTATGGAACCTTGTTGTATTTGGACAGTCAATACTAGCAGCATAAGCTTCCAATTTTGAGACAAATTGGGAGCTAGTCTATTGAACAGTGCCACTAATGGGTCTTTTGTGAGCTGGCGTACCCCCCACCCTGCAAACAGGGCGCTGGGAAGGGCTGATGCCGCTTCAAATAATCTTGTGAAGGAAGTACAGATGGCATTATGGGTAACATCATGACCTTCACATGCAGCTAGCGCACGCTACGTACGATAAACAGCAGCAGTGCTGCATGCTACATCACAGGTCATGCAAAATCTATCCAATGAGAGCTCAAAGAGATCAGCCCATCCCAGCATCCTGTTTGCAGGGCGGGGGGTACGAGCAAACAGACTTCAAGGTTTAATGACCCTGGGATACGTGTATAATGACCATTTGGATCCTGTTACATAGGATATGCTTCTCACATTTGCAGTTGTGATGTTAACTGTGTCTTGGGTCTGGTTGGATTTATCTGGATGATGTTGTCGTAATCTAGTCCAAACAATCTCAATGGAGACATAGACTTGTCACATGTCATTATTCAATTACTGTTTGTTTACACCTCACACATATTCATGAACAAGATGCATACTAACTGGTCAACTCATTATGAACAGTCCTTCTGATTTGAAAATCAAAGGCATGTAGAAAAAGGCACACCTGGATTTTTCTAGGCGTGTGATTTTTCTAGGCGTGTGATTTTTCTAGGCGTGTGATTTTTCTAGGCGTGTGATTTTTCTAGGCGTGTAATTCTGTGGTCCAAACTGGGACTGAGCAACCTGGTATTTGTAAAAAATAATATTCATCTTGGTTTACAGTGAAGTCATTTCAAGAGCTCACAGATGGATAATTATGCTGTAAATGTATGCCAAGGTGTGCGGTACAGAGGGATTCAGGCGTGCGATTATTCGCACTTCTCGGGAAGCTTTTAGGCGTGGGATGGCACGGTGTGCGATCAGACGCCTCAAATCAGAAGGACTGTGTGTATGCCTGACAACATTTGTACGCATCCTGGGTTATAAATGTGCGCAGGACTGCATCCATGCATCAAAAGTTGAGACATGTTATGTATCACGACGCATGTAAACTGGTTGCTGGGCTCCAGTTGATCAGTAACCCTTTGTAGGTCCTGAACAGTGTCCATCAGGAGCATGCTTTCTTCTCTCCTTTCCAGTTTGCAGCACTGGATCCTGTCACCGTAGTCTCGGTGGATAAGTTCTTGTATGAGGATGACGAGGCCATAGATGAGATGTGTGATGAGGGGATGCTGAGCAGAAACTACTGCATGGACTGTGGCTCTCACCACACGGCACCACTCAGTGAGTTGTGATACAACATTTGCAAACATCAAAAAACGAAATGATCAAATTATCACGAAAATAATGACAGTCCAAAGCATCCTGTAAAATCGTGGCTCCTGGTGTGCTGACATTTGCAGGAAAACTTGTATTTTTCCAACGCTGGTCGGCCGACCAGTGTTGGAGAATACTGACTTTTTTCAAAAACTACTCCTAATTTGTTGTATTTAATTATTCCGCATTTTCTTTGCAATTGATTACACACCTGTGAAGGGGTACAAGCCTGCTACACTGATCCTCTACCTTACAATTTCCCGATATCTATAAATTGCTTTGTTTCATCTTAAGTCGGATCAGGGAATCAGACTTCAAGAACATGGTTGGTTTACTTGGATTTTCCAGCATCTCCGAACCCAAAACGTGAAGCAAGTCAGTTTAACAATATTTGCTATAACATACTAATCCTCCAAATCCATTTGTTTCTGAAAATTGCAGCAAAAGCAAATGTTGTACATTCCCTTTAAGGACATTTCCATGAAGACCACGGCCCAATTTCTACCGCTGGGCGAGTAACTTGATTACTCGAGTACTCGCAGTAGTTAAATGCTACTCATTGTTCTACTCGTGGTAGATGATACTTGAGTACTCATCCTGGTGTGAGTTGAAGCAGGTACTCGCGAGTAGCGGTTTAGGGTTCACAGCTTAATACGTCCCCTGCAAACATGGAATCACTCCTCCACCTCTCTCTCCCTAGGATTCCTTAAAAAAAAAAAAAATTCAATTAAACATGTTAAATGACCAAAAAAGTCGCACAGTATTTCAGTGCTGAAGATTGTGGTGTGACTTGCATGCTATTTGCTTGTAGTTACTTCCCGTCATACTAATGTATATATAATTGTTCTGCTTTTATGGGAATTCGGTTAACTACTCAGGAGTACTTGACTACTCGTGAGGAATTTCTTTGCAAGTACTCGAGTAGAAAAATTTGCTACTCGCCCAGGCCTACCAATTTCCTTGAAGACACTAGAGGCCAGATAAAGCTTATTCTCGGTCATAACCCCATCTAAAAACACGTTAAAATTGTGTAGCAGCAGGATTCCAATCAAACCAGTGAGTTTGGCGGTTTGAGACATCATCTTACATAAAAAAAACAAACAATGCGCATGGCTACGGCGATGCGGGCGCAGACCAGAAACCGGAGACTATTTTTTTTTTGGCCTAAGGGTTAATCATCCATAAAGAAAAAATGTTTGGTTTTTCTTTTTCCAATTTGGAACAGATTTTGTTTCCCATTCTGCCTCGCTGCTTCAACTGAAGTTTATGTTCCAGAAGGCACTGCCTGATCTGGCTGGCAAGACAGTAGTTGACATTGGATCCCGGTTAGGTCCAGTCTTGTATGCGGTAAGTGCTTTTTTATTTCTGTTTTTTTTGGTCCAGTGCACTGTTGCAAAGGAATACTTTTGTTAAAGTTCAATTTCAAAGCTTGAAACTTGAGACTGGATGACTTGTGAGTGACCAGTGTTGAAGTGTGATTTGACAATCAAAAATCTTGGTTTAGCTGTGATGAAACTTGCATTCTATGGGCTCCGTGCACCAACAAAAGAGGGCGCCCTTTTACCTATCAACGACGTCCCATGGGCGGGACAAATTAGATGGTTGACGCGCACCGTTCCTTGTGTGTACCGCACGTACACCAGGGGATTTGTACAATGTACACGCAGTGGTATGGCCGCGCGTCGCGGGAAAATTGCAGTCAGGCAAGATGGCGTCGGTCGGTCACCCCCAACTGTACTTTCTTTGCCAATAGACATCTTTTCCAATAGACATCTTTCAAATGACGTCACTGCCAACAGATTGCCACATGCATCAGCATTTTGGGAGTCACATTTTCGTGATAAATCGGCTGATGGAGCAACATGCGCGCGTGTTTAGAACATTTTGCACACTGTGCGCACGCGTACCTGATGGCATGGAATACGTAGTTGTAATTTGCCTACGAAGATGGCTGTCTACATGTATGAAAGATGGCTGTCTACATGCATGAGAGGGGGGGGGGGGTTGGGATGTCATATAGTTACTTTTTAGAATCCCGCCCACTGATGATTGCTCAAACACAATTTAAGATTACAATAAAGTGAAATATGTAGTTTAGAAACCGCTGTGTATGTTCCCTAAGTTTTCCTAACTTTTTAACTTTTCGATTGGAAATCGCGTTTTGGAAATAGTCTTCATATCGAACGTTCTAATAAATAGGAATATTTTGGATTAAGACTGTGCACTTTTTTGACTTTTTTTCAATATATAAGGTTTTGGAAATAAAATCATCATATAGAATGTTCTGATGAAGTGGAACCTTTTGGGTTAAGAGATGCTACCTCTCACCTTAAAGGTACAGTCCATCATTTATAATTTGTGCATTTTTTTCGTTTGAAGCAACAAAAATGCTCAAAATCTAAAGAAGGGTACTTAACAACTAATAACCTGATGAAGTTTTAGCTCAGTGAATGCTGTATATTCTGAGAAAACAATATTCAAGGATCTCGATTTCAATTCAAAAGTTGCCGAGTCATGTTTTATATTGCGCCTGAAATCAGCGTCCCGGACAGTTTCTTATTCAGTCGATTGCAGGTACGTGATGCCAGGCGCTAAACCGACGAATTATAGCAACCGCCCGCACATGTGCATTGTGTCAACGCTTGCGCACACTCATTCACAGCTTTGCCGAATTAAAAACGAACTACTAACGGAAATTTCCAAACATGCGTCTGTAGACGCATCATTTGAAAAGGCCTTCTTTTATTGTTTTCTTCAAAATGACAGCATGCCAGAAAGACTAATTGCACAGGGAGTTTAGTACCATTACCATCTATAAACGAAGTATGCTTTTCAACAATAATTTCGGATGGCTGCAAATGATGTACGCTACCTTTAAGTTGCAACTTCATGGGTTGAATGTTCATTCGCCTTGAAAGGGCTGTGATGACTGTAAAGGATCTAGTGAGCCCTCTTTTGGTGAAATGCGTGTCGAGAAGCCATAACCAATGATTTCCTTTCACAAGGTGGAGGCTTCCACTTGTAATTTTGTAGCAGAAGCTGTGAAGGAAGCCATTTTTGTGTGTGTGCGGGGGGGGGGGGGGGGAGGGGGGGAGATCTGCGTCCAGGGACTTTTTTGGAGAGGCCTGCTTTTGTCTGACTTCCGGTGTGTGTCAGGCTTTTTTGGCTTGCAGGCTGACCGTGTGGGATGGCAGCGGGTAATATGAATCCAGTATGACATCCGTTGTTGAGTGTTTGCGTATATGTTCTCATCCTTGCAGTGGGAAGTTTAGAGGGACGGAGGGGGTAGAATTAACCACAAAACATGTTAATGCCCTGGAGAGAATTGGGGGACGTACATTTTTAGACCCTTATCTCATTGTTGAAGGTGAAATGTCAGTTTTGGAAATGTGCTGACAGCCTGCGTGGTCTGTTTGTTTCAGAATAGAGCAAGTTACTTCCTGGTACTGTGCCGGGGAAATGTGTTGATTCCCCTGTAAATTTCACGGGGAGTTGTTGGACAGGAGCCATGGTGGGTTGTTTGGGGCGTACACATATTTCCGCTGTGATTGGATGCAGAATGGTTGGTTCCAGACAAAGGACTCTACATAGAGGCAAAGCCTTTGCGCGGCTCGAGCTAAAAAACAAAAAATTGGATTGGCAGCCTTGCTTTTAAACCTGTTATGAATCTGGTCGGTGGTTGCACAAGTTCATGCACAAAGTTTTTCTCAAAATAAATAGTTTGTTCCTGTCAGATACTTTCGAAAGAGTTACTTTTGTGGCTCATGCTGTGACCAGGCGAGACAATTAATTATATTTGAAACTGATAATGTTAAGACAGGGTTGAGCCTGTGTCTGGTTCCCCCATATATCCACCTGTTGGTCTCAGTTCAACCTGCTGATTGGCCGTGGCTGTCACTAACAGGTGTAAACTTGATTTCCAAAGCTAAATGTAGACAGCCATCCCTTTAGCTGAGTCTCGTTTGTGAATTCAGTATTTCCTGGGGAAATATAACATATCCGATGCATAAAACTGAAACAAATTATGATGCTGTAGTTCATGGTTGTGTTTTTAAGCAGTCCACAAATCCACAAAATGTTTGAGCTATCTTTCTATCATGTCAGAGACACTGCATATTGTATGTTTTCGTAATTAATGACCTTCCAGGTATTACATTTATGTTATGCGCTACGCTGTCTTGAAAATTTTGCATATTTAAAGGGAAAATACAACATTTGCAAACATCAAAAAATAAAACTACCAAATCATTTTGAAATACCTTGCTGGACTGTTTGTGAATGACAGTGTAAAGCATCCTGTATTAAAAATCATGGCACCTGGTATACTGTTGTTTTCAAGAAAAGTGTTTTTATGCCCCGCGGCGAAGCCGAAGGGGCATACTGTTTCCGCCTTGTCCTTCCGTGGGTGGGTGGGTGGGTGTGTGGGTGTGTGTGTGGGTGGGTGGGTGTGTGGGTGTGTGTGTCCGGACAAATCTTGTCAGCACGATAACTTGAGAAATACTTAACATATGAACTTGAAATTTGGTCTGTGTATTGTTCTTGGTAATCCTAAGAGGCCTATTGCATTTGGGGCCGAAAGGTCAAGGGTCAAGGTCACAGTGGCTGAAACAATAGAAATTTTGTCAGCGCGATAACTTGAGAAATACTTTACATATGAACTTCAAATTTGGTTTGTGGATTGTCCTTGGCAATCCTGAGAAGCCTTTTGCATTTGGGGCCGAAAGGTCAAGGGTCAAGGTCACAGTGGCTAAAACAAAAGAAATTTTGTCAGCGTGATAACTTGAGATATACTTTACATATGAACTTCAAATTTGGTTTGTGGATTGTCCTTGGCAATCCTAAGAGGCCTATTGCATTTGGGGCCGAAAGGTCAAGGGTCAAGGTCACAGTGGCTGAAACAATAGAAATTTTGTCAACGCGATAACTTGAGAAATACTTTACATATGAACTTCAAATTTGGTTTGTGGATTGTCCTTGGCAATCCTGAGAAGCCTTTTGCATTTGGGGCCGAAAGGTCAAGGGTCAAGGTCACAGTGGCTAAAACAAAAGACATTTTGTCAGCGTGATAATTTGAGATATACTTTACATATGAACTTCAAATTTGGTTTGTGGATTGTACTTGGCAATCCTAAGAAGCCTATTGCATTTGGGGCCGAAAGGTCAAGGGTCAAGGTCACAGTGGCTAAAACAAAAGAAATTTTGTCAGCGCGATAACTTGAGAAATACTTTACATATGAACTTCAAATTTGGTTTGTGGATTGTCCTTGGTAATCCTAAGAAGCCTTTTGCATTTGGGGCCAAAAGGTCAAGGGTCAAGGTCACAGTGGCTAAAACAATCGAAATCTTGTATTTATTCTGAGATCATAGGGATTAGGGATTAATTCATATAAAACCTACAGAAGACACTAATGCTGTCAATGAACATTCCATGTGACCAAGGTACATGTAAGTTGATGTTAAAAGAGTGGTGTTATGTCATGGGAACAGTCACGGTTGCGGGGCATTTGTGTTTGTAAACACACCTGACTTGTTTTTTGTATCAATTTCCAACGCTGATCGGCCGATCAGCGTTGGAAACAACTGGCTTTTTTTTCAAATACTGGCCCCAATTGACCATCGCACTTGTTTGCAATCGATTACAAACCTATGAACGGGTACGAGCCAGCTAGACTGGTTCCCTGACCTTACAATTCCCCAATGTATGTAAACTGCTCTGTTTCTTCTTATATGGAGTCAGGGAACCAGACTACAGGAAAATGATCGTTTTTCTTGGTTTTTATAGCATTTTCGAACCCAAAACCTCCAAAAAGTCAGTGTAACTATATTTGCTATATATTTCCAACCCCCCCAATTCCATCCATTTCTGAAAATTACAGCAAAAGCAAATGATGTATATTCCCTTTAAAGGATACAAAGGATGGGTTTCAATAATCAGGTTAACAATGTTAATTTCGCAACTTATGTCACTTTGCTTTTTTAGACAGAATATATTCAAACAATTGTTAAAGATTGTTGGGAGATGTTTACATGTAGGGCTGTCCCGAATATACTGAATTTCAAATATTTGATCATCAACAGAATATTTGAATAGATTTTTACCAGTTTGGATATTCAAAAGAAAAAAAAGGATGTACGTACATACCCGACTGTGATGTTATTTTAATTGTAAGTTGCAAACTTTAGTGTCAAGTGCCATTTTTTGTTGACAGTAATTTTTTGTCCACGGTGGTTCATTGTTCTAATCCTTTTAGCAGGTTAAATCCTTTGACCGTTATAAAATAGTTATTGCAAAACACTCCAGTGGCCCATATTACATTGATTGCGGCACGTATATTGTAATCCGCATGCTTTGTGTGCAACTTTTGACGGCCACGGCGCACAGTTGTAAACTGGATCAGCAAGTTACGAACATTTGAATATTCAGTCAAACGCAGTTTGCAATAATCGAATACTGAATTATTTGAAAATGGACAGCCGTAGTTACATGGTAAATTTGCTCACAGATAACAGGTTGCAGACAGTTCAAGTATTCATGATTCATGAAAATTCTTAGTTTGAATATTCAGCCTTACAGGAGAAGTTCACTTCATATGAACAGATTGTTACGGTTTTTCGGTGCTTGTCCCCGAAAAACCCATTTGGTTCCTTGGAGGGAGGATGGCCAATCCAATAGCTGCTTGGGAGAGGAAAATCAGAGAGAATAAAATAATTGGCTGGCCGGCGCGCTGTTATCCAATCAAAGTCCTAGTCACAGCAAGGGCTGGTCAGACTCACGCAAGAAAATCCACATGTTTTCGGTAGCCTCCGTCGAACGAAGATTGCATCAAAAAGTCAGAGTTTTCTTACCAGACTTGTATGACTCGTGACTCCGACTCGGACTCGAGTCCACTCGGTCCCATTTTCCATGACTCGGACTCGGACTCCAGTCACGATGACAAATGACTCGGGCTCGACCCTGCGGACTTGGATTTGGACTTGGACTCGACATGCGTGACTCAGGACTTGACCAACATTACCACAAATCACTTATTTTTGTAAACAATATAATTACAAATTATTTTGAAGACGATCCTCTCCTGAGCAAGCCATGCAGTCAGTGCGGAGCAGAAGAAAATACACAGCGCGCAGTGTGCGGCTGCCAGGCTTGTTTCCGATATACAATGTCTTGATTTGGGGAATCAATGTATCGAAACATGCCCCATGCAGCGTCCACACTTGATATTGCATAAATGCAAGCTTGATAGTGTGATAGTGTTCGGTACCAGATTATCCTTTCCAGATGCAGACACTGCATGCAGTGCCTTGCCTTATTAGACATGTATGTTTCAGGTGTATTTCCAGTTCATTAAATTAGAGAAAAGCTGTGCAAAAAAATGGAAATCTACACTGTGACCTTTGTGACTCACGACTCGGACTCGGATTCGACCTGCAAGACTCGGGACTCGGACTCGGCAGAGGTTACTCATCAGACTTGATGTTTGGTGACTCAAATGCAAGTCTGTTTCTTACAGTACTGTAGTTATTGGTGCAACAGTGGTGACGTCCGGCTTCAGACAACATGGGGAAGTGCTGTAGAGTACTCGAGGCTGGCGGTGAATAGCCAATTTATATTGCTGGTATTTAAGCTAACATTTGCCTGTTTGTTTGGTTTTTGTATTCTCTTTTCTACAGGCATACTTCTACAGCAGCGCTTCAAGAATAGTGGGGATTGAAATCAATGCAGAGCTATGTGCAATTCAAGAACACATCATCAGAAAGTTTGCCTTGAAAAATCGCATACAGGTACTGATTATGTTCTTCATTGACAAGGCCCCCCCCCCCCCTCATAGATAGCAGGACACTAATGCGCCACCATCATCATGCGCATATTATATACAAAGTGGTCTGTGCAGTACCTCTGTGGTCCAGTGTGCAAATACTTCTTTGTGTTTTTACCCAGAAACTCCTTGGTGTGAGCAGCGGCGACAGTTTTGAAAGTGGCCCCCTCCCCAAACACACGCACCTCCCCCCCCCCCCCCGGTTCCTCTGCCTATATGCCATAGCAACTGCAGTGTACATGTAGGCCTTCGCTATGATAGATAAAGTGATCCTTCGATCCTGTCAATTTCCAGAGACAGTATAGAGAACTTATTTTTTATGTTATCCCAGATATAGGGCCTACAATGCACTATTTTGGTACCTGCCAATAGTGGGGAGGGGGAGGGGGGGGGGTAAGCCCCCAGTGGCAAAAGTGGGGGGGGGGGGGGGCAATGGCCCCCTGACCCCCCGGTTCCGCCACTGTTTTCGTGAGAGGTCTCTGGGAACATACACATGTCAGTTCCAAAAGACATGTGGTATTTTAGCCATCTTCAAACTGATTGAAATTTTTAGGTTAATTGGATTTTTTTTTTTGTAATTGCATGTTTTGGAGTACGCCTTAAAACAAGAGATAGAATTAATGGAATGTATACTGTATTTCATGTGCAGTCTCCAGAGTAAGATCATGTATAAGAATTCTTCAAACCAGAAATATCTACAACTGTATATATATAATATGTAAGTTTAATTTTTCCTTGCAGATTGTCACAGCTGATGTGTGTACCAAGGCATCGGTGCTGGAAGAAGGTGATTATGTCTTTCTATTGGATTACCCAGAGGGTGAAATGGTCGCACGTTGTATTTGAAATGCTGGGGGACTATTATGCTCTGGGAAAAGAATGTTTGCTTTTCATGAAAACTGCTTTGTGTAGGCACAATTCAAACTATTATTAAACTCAACTATCCATGGTTTGGCTCTCCTAAACCTACATTGCCAGAAGACTTGCACAGAACCTTCAATTATCCTTCATAATCCATTAAATTCCACCAAAGATCAACTGTGCAGGCGCTGATGTGGTTCTTTAGTTTGTCTTATGAATGTCCATTGATTCCTATGTAAAAAGTAATAGGCAGTGTACATGTACCTTCCAATATCTGGCTGGTGGAATTTAGAGGATCTAGGAGGGTACTGAAGAGTAAGCACTTGACCGAGAATTTTACTTTCAAGAACAAATGACATTTGATGGGGATGCAGGCCTACTTGTTAGTATTTGACTTAATCCTTTAGCTCTTGTACTGCCCCCAACCACCTTGTCTGTTACTTGTTAGGCCGACCTCAGGTAGACCTGGCGACAAAGCAGAACAGTCAGCAATTTACTTTTCAGGACCAAGCTGCGCCTGAGCTACGACCGTATGGAACATATCAGTGGCTGATTTTTAGTGATCTGAGTGTAATTGCGATGGTATTAAGACGATCGGCATCAGACGGCGCTAAAAAAAAATCAATAGTCGCAAGAGTAGAAAAATTTCAACTTCTGCGTCGCGACAGAACAAACTTTTTAAAAAGTGCTCCAGGCTTCTCACTATTAGTATATGCCCCAGCTTTGTAACATTGTTTGCCTATTTTCCTCTATTTCAGCTGATGTGGTCATCATGAACAATGTATTTGAATTCTTTGCCCCGGCTGGAGAACAAATAAGGTGAGGATATATAGACACACCTCAAGTAACATTTACTACTCACATGAATAAGAATGTCAAATTTTTACATACGTGTATGCAATTGAATCTTAATGTGGTCTCCTTGGAAATGTGTTGACTTAGCTTTATATTAATTACTGAAAATGTCTTCTTACTTTTAATTTGACAACTTTGCAAAGCTCATGCACTTGTATGTACTCACAAGGGATATTTCTATTAAGAAAAGCTTCTCTGTGATAAGGAAGTATACAATTAGCTTTTCCTTTACAGAACTTGTCAGAATTTTATTGACTTTAAGTTCGTGTGAAAAGGAGATGTGATTTAAACAAACTGTCAAAGTTCTGTGATTAAAAAATTAGTCTTCCATAGAGTCAACTTTCCTGCATGGATTACAAAGAGTGTTAATAGTTTGAGTTATCCTGACAAGTCAAAGATATGTGCTTACAATTTCCGGAAAATGTTCTCCTTCCGTGAGAAAAAGGATTAAAATAAGAGAGTGTCAATTAAGATGAAAATTCAAAGTTTCCTTGAATTAATCCTAATAAATTGCAATTCCCACTACGTCCTATTTATCTGCGAAAAATATCTATAATAAGCTTTCTGAAGGCCCAAGAGAAATAGTGAATAGTGGAATTTTCCCACCGCTTTTCAAGTTGCCCTTCAAAACAAAGTACCAAGTGGTACAAAAAAAAAACACGGCGGGTAACGCTTTAAGATAGGTTAAGGCACCTCAAGAGAGCAAGGAAGACGAAAACTGTGCGCGCACACCCGCGGTGCACAAAAAACAGTCTTTGTCATAAACACAAAATAATGTTCACGTTCCAATCAATGCAGTCATAGTAAAAATATCATTTGACGAGTCACAGTGACGATGAAACTATGCAAAAAACAATCGTGACTATTACTTCTAGTGACAATCTACACGGCGCTGTCCCACAGTAGTAAAACAGAGTAATTTGTTCCTTGTTTTGAAACTTGTCACTCGGTGTATATGAAATCACAGCCTTCACGACTGAATCGTTATATCGCGCATTTTGCAATGCAATGGGGCGTGATCTAATATGCAAATTAGACGCATGCGTATCAGTGTCATCAAAACAGCTACTCCAAAAAAAGTCACTTGCAAAGCCGTGATACACGTATGGCATGGAAACAGTACCGGTATAATACACCCGGATAAAATGGGCCGAGTACACTGTCCACCAACCCACCTATCCACCTACCCACCCACCCACCCACCCAACCACCCAACCACCAACATTGCGAGCACAGGCCCACGGTGCGTTTTCATGCTGCCGTGGGGAAAAGAAAAACAAATAGTTTTACAAGTGTTAAGCTGAGGACAGGGGTGGAGTTTAAGGGGGGGTGGGGGTACCTACGGGGGGGGGGGGGATTTAGAGGGGGTTGTCTTTTCCACACTGCCCCTTGATTTTAAAATTTAAAACTCACTGGATCTTTCATGTTTATATTTTGATTTGATGGCTAATTGCTTATTTTCCTTAAATTTGATGGCTCCTTGGAAAGCATAGTTTATGCTAGGAATTTGGCAATTCAATTTGAGAACTTATTTTTTAGGATGACATGCCCCAAAATGGAAAATATATGGCAGTATAAATGTCAGTGGAAGACCGTTACTGTTTGATGTACATGTACGAATACAAAAGTGCGGTAGTGTCTAAAATACCAGAAAGGTTTCTCTTGCGCCAGAAGTTTTACGCCCCAAGTTTTGATCAGATGGTGTCAGTCGGTACCAAGGGTGAGCCGACTTGACAGTTGATTCTGACACATGGAAATGACTGGAATCGTGATAGTGTGACATCAGAAGGCCGGGCAACATGACTTCAAATCCCTTCACACCACTGTACATAGTGTGAACGGATTTGAAGTCATGGGCACAGTACTGTTGCCCTTGAAAGTGCACGGGTTTGCAATGTTGGAGTCAGGCGTGCCATTGACCTGTAGCTGTATTTTGACCGTGACTCAGTTTAGTGACCTTGCCCTCCTTTTTTCCCCCTCCATCATATATACTATCACCAGTCAGGATAGGGGCGCATGATGTACACATATATCCGTACAAACCTGGCCTCAAAATGTAGGTAGTCACATTCAAACAAGCATTGCCAACTAGCTAGGTGCCCTGGTTTGGACCCTGTCATTGGGAAGTTTTCTATTGATCAGAATATTTGGATGTAGAATTCACGATGCTGCCCTTGTGTTCCCCCTTTTTTTGCCAATTTTGAACCAAACAAAAACAGTATCATTTTCAGGTAAAATATAATTATACATACATGTATCTCTAAAGAGATTGGAAAAGACTGATGGCAATATGTATGACACTTTGATCCGAGCACTTCAGACCATCAAGTGGTCAATTCTCATAGCGCGGTAAGCAGAAAAGTTGTGCTTACTCTAGTGGTAAAAATTATTTCATAGCATAGACCACTAAAGCTTGTGCATGCTAAGCACCATGGAAATATCTATTACTCGATTATTCAATATTATTTTGATATCGATATCGCCGATCATATCGAAATTTCGAAATTTTCGATATTGAGGAATGATATTGAAAATGCTTCAGATTATCTTCAAAATAAATCTCCCGTTTGTGCTTTTACTTTGTGTTTAACGTTTGCTGTATAATAAAATAAAAACTCGGTGGCAACTTGTGCTTGTGACTCAAAATAAAAACATCGTGAAATGCAAAGCGGCATCGCTTTGTGCTCTGCATTCACTGGAATTTGCAGTCTCCTCAATGTAAAACTCACTCTGGACAAACCGTTAGTGCTGAGATTTGTTTTAAAGCGTTTGAGTAATATGCTCCAGGGAAAGATGTGGAAACTTGGGACTAATTAAATTAAACTTTTACGTGGGATAATCAATATATGGAATAATCTTGATATTGGATTTCCACTATATCCATTACTGAAAATTCTGATATCGACAGTGCTTTAATAGTGCATGCATCGAGATTTCTATTGTTACAATGTACGTCGCTATTTCTAGAAAAATTGCAAATTCTGTTGATTTTCATCAAAAATAAAAATAAAGATTCATGCAGGTTTGCAGCATAAATTTATAATGCCAATACAAGATAAAAGTAAACATAACTGAACTTAGAATAACAATAAGCCAAAGTTTTCTATTGGTGAAAGTTTAAATGTTGTCGATAGTTGTTTACTTAAAAAAAAATTAAAATAATAATAATACAGGAATGTGTACGTGCCCAACAAGAATCCATGTCCAACTGTAGGAGGAAACATGTGTTTTGTGTTTGATATAGTTTGGCATTGAGGGTCAGAAAGGAAGTTTTTAACTTTAGGAAGTTAAATTGTGCCTTCCTGCCTATTTTGGTTCAGTATGTTCAAGAGAACAGCCACCTTGCGTGTAGAATTTCCCTCCCCAAAACCCCCCTGAAAACAATGACTAGCACGTGGTGCACATGCACCCGCTGTGCAAGCTACACGGAAATAGCAGACGTGATGTTTTGAGTGCGGTTCGAGACTTGCCAAGTGATGGAGCTGTAACATAATTGAAGGTGACGTTGACGTGATGGGTGCAAAAAATCAACCTAGTTCTAAGCGGCAAATAAATACAGGCAACTTAACAATTACATCAGTCCTTACAACATATTCTTACAGCAGGCTCTCATACCATAGGGTTGCATGAGGACAGTGATAACATCTTTATAATAATATGCAAGTCTCTGTTTGTTTGGATGTTTGTCCGGGCTTATTCTCGCAAGTGGCAGGTTGCACGGCGCTCAAACTCGGTGGGTGGGTGAGGCTGGTTTCAACCTTTGATAAGCGATTGCAACCCCGGGGGTCCCTCCCCGGGGCCCTCTCTTGTACCTACATACGTACATACAGCGTGTGTACGTGTATACATTCATGTACAGACATTCGTGTTTTGCTATACTCTCGAGGACAATGCTTTGTGTTTCCCTTTGTCCCTGTAATATAACACTCTCCCATAGACTAAGCACACAAACTTACTACAGAGGACCGTTTCCAACAAAAGACCCAACTCCCAAGGACTGAAAGGATCTGTTATTCTCCCTTAGTGTGTCGGTCCTCGGGGGTTACATGTATGTAGAACACGTACATGTACACACACGCATACAAGTACACACGCTGTAATTGCATCTGAAAGGGAACTCCCAAGCTACATGCCAATATAACTATAGATGGTGCTGTTGAATTTTTTTCTTCATTTTTTGTACATCAGTACAGATAGTCAGCAGTATGGTCATGCAGCACCGTGCAGCGAAGCCTATAAACAGCAAAGCAAATGCAGAATGAACAGTTGATTCACATTTGAACTGTTACGAATGCATGCAAAAAGTAAACAAACATTAAAAAGATTAACCGACCATCATCTCACCCTATTTATTCTGGTTATAAAATTTAGAGCCCCCTCCAAAAAAACCCAATAATAATGATAATTACATTTACACACCCACCCTGTTGGGTTTTTTTCAATGTAATATGAAACGCAAATGTTTTTTTCTTTGCCTTATTAATACCTCGTTAAATTTGGAAAGGTCATGACTATCTATAGTCATAGATTACTATATTGGTGACAATTTTGAATAATGTACATGCATCTCCAGTATTTGTCCTGTTTTTCCAACAGCATTTGGAAGTTCCTGAGGAGAACACTGAAGAAGAAAGATAGTTACCTCGTCACGGTGCCGTCCCTAGAGAAATCCATGGAAGCACTTCAGGTAAAAGGAATACTATAGGTGCCACCCCTGTTGAAATCAACACGGGTCTATTGTGAGCAAAACTGGGTCCAATTGGCTTTACTGCAGGAACTAGTTTGTCAACTTCCAAGTTCCAATACCTCGGGGAGCTAATATCGACTGTCCACCTACAAACCATGTTGTCTTTGTATACCATTCACACTTACGCCAGTTTATACACGGGTCGGTAGTAGGTCTTTGATTTTCTACCTGGGTACAGTCTCTCAACCCTGCTCCCAATCAGGGCTGGATGCTAAATGTGTAGAGTGCCGGACCTGTGTAGAAGCCATGTTGGATTCTTGCTAGTGTGAAAAGGGTTCCCGAAACCTCAGGGTTTGACCTGGATCCAGCATGGGATTTTGGATAATTTGAAAGGGCCTAATAGTCAGTAATAATGTGTAAGTCTCCCAGGATCAAGACACAAATTTTGATCAGCTGATCCAGTGAGCGACAGGTATGGCCCTTTCACACTCTGGTTCACATGTGTATTGCATGCAGTTTGTACAGATTTCCTTCTGAATGCGCACAAATTAAACCTGGAGCATCTGCAAAGGAATGCGCCCCAGCATGGGCACACAGTGGTTGTAGCTCTTGAGAGTCCGGTTTGTCACTAATTTCACCGTAGGGGCAAGCACTCATGTAAAGATTCCTGTAACGAGCCACTATTGCCAATCAAGGCCAGTGCGCATACCATGAAATAGTAAAAAGTGAAGTCTGTTATGAGCCAGTTTTGCCCATGAGACCGGCGCATATAGAACGAATAGTCAAAAGTAAAGTCTTTCACGCACCAGTATTGCCCATCAGACCAGCGCGTATAGCACAAAGTAGTCAAAAGTAAAGTCTTTCACGAGCCAGTATTGCCCATCAGGCCAGCGCGTATAGCACAAAGTAGTCAAAAGGAAAGTCTTTCACGAGCCAGTATTGCCCATCAGGCCAGCGCGTATAGTACAAAGTAGTCAAAAGGAAAGTCTTTCACGAGCCAGTATTGCCCATCAGACCAGCGCGTATAGCACAAAGTAGTCAAAAGGAAAGTCTTTCACGAGCCAGTATTGCACATCAGACCAGCGCGTATAGCACAAAGTAGTAAAAAGGAAAGTCTTTCACGAGCCAGTTTTGCCCATCAGACCAGCGCGTATAGCACAAAGTAGTCAAAAGGAAAGTCTTTCACGAGCCAGTATTGCCCATCAGGCCAGCGCGTATAGCACAAAGTAGTCAAAAGGAAAGTCTTTCACGAGCCAGTATTGCACATCAGACCAGCGCGTATAGCACAAAGTAGTCAAAAGGAAAGTCTTTCACAAGCCAGTATTGCCCATCAGACCAGCGCGTATAGCACAAAGTAGTAAAAAGGAAAGTCTTTCACGAGCCAGTATTGCCCATCAGACCAGCGCGTATAGCACAAAGTAGTCAAAAGGAAAGTCTTTCACGAGCCAGTATTGCCCATCAGGCCAGCGCGTATATAGTACAAAGTAGTCAAAAGGAAAGTCTTTCATGAGCCAGTATTGCCCATCAGGCCAGCGCGTATAGCACAAAGTAGTCAAAAGTAAAGTCTATCACGAGCCAGAATTGCCCATCAGGCCAGCGCGTATAGCACAAAGTAGTCAAAAGGAAAGTCTTTCACAAGCCAGTATTGCCCATCAGGCCAGCGCGTATAGCACAAAGTAGTCAAAAGGAAAGTCTGTCACAAGCCAGTTTCGCCCAACAGGCCAGCACGTATAGCACAAAGTAGTCAAAAGGAAAGTCTTTCACGAGCCAGTATTGCCCATCAGACCAGGGCGTATAGCACAAAGTAGTCAAAAGTAAAGTCTTTCACGAGCCAGTATTGCCCATCAGGCCAGCACATATGCACAAAGTTGTCAAAAGTAAGTCTTTCACGAGCCAGTATTGCCCATCAGGCCAGCGCGTATAGCACAAAGAAGTCGAAAGTAAAGTCTTTCACGAGCCAGTATTGCCCATCAATGATTGAGAATATTTCTATTCCCCCTGGATGAGATGCCAGTCTATCGCAGGTAACTCTTCAGCTAATGCTGGTTCCCATTCTCCTGGGTGGAGAGAGACAAGTGAACCCCTGACCCGCTGTTTATGAGTCAAGAACCCTAACCACTAGGCCACACTGAATGTGTACAGTCCAAAGCATTTTCGCATGAGCATCAGGCATTGGTGCTATGCATTCGAAGTCTCTCCTAGTCTTCTCCCCTCACTTCTTTCTTACCATTGAGAAAGTAGTTGTGCATGGAGCCATATGGCAGATAAGCAACTAAGTTATGCTAGGAAAACTTGTGCTTAACTTACAGATGCATACGATGTGCACTTTATAAAAATGTATTTTTTTTTTCTCCTCAGGAATTTTCAATTTTGGGTGGATAGCTAGTAAATATTCATGTACTGATAATGTGCAAATTGCTGTGATTAACAGTCGAGTGATTACAACCTTTCAACGCAGCACACAGATCACTTTACCAAAAAGTCAAGTGCGTGTATCCATTGCTTTAATATTGAGATAAGGGTTTAACTTGGCTTGGGACGTAATCAGAAAGGAAATAAAATTAAATGAGAAGGGACTTCCCCATAAAAAACATTTATCAAATAAAAAAAAAACATGTCACTTTATCCTCGCGAGGTGGTTAATCCATCCATGATGCACATGGGGACATCGTATGATTTTATTTGTTTCTAGTGTAAAAATGAAAATGCCTTGGGATATGGATTACTGGATATTGGTTCCAATGCCCCCTCGCTCACCTCCCTACCTGCCCCCCCCCCCTCCCCTTGAGAAAATTTAATAGCCTACTTGGGGAAAAAATATGAAATCAATCTATATTAATGAGCAGGCATAAAGTAGCAAGGATGCCGTCAGGTACATACTGTTGGCTGTTTATAACTTAATCGTTACAGTGTCATGGACTGTTTTGGACTTCATTATTGATTTGGGGCCAGGGCCATGTAGGGTCAGTTGCCTTGACCAAACTATAGCCCAATTTATGAAGAACCACCAGATGATGGGACTTGCAGAGTGCAGACCTTATTCCATCTGACCTTCTGTCCATCATTTTGACAGCTTGTAATGGTGATTAACAGTTGAGTTACTCAACATTTTGACAACTTGAATTTGAATAACGGGAGAATGCAAAATTGAACAAGTGATAACTGAAGGTTTACCTGGAGGTTTACCTGGAGGTTTACCTGGAGGTTTACCTGGAGGTTCCCCTCGAGGTTCACCTGGAGGTTTACCTGGAGGTTTACCTGGAGGTTTACCTGGAGGTTTACCTGGAGGTTCCCTTCGAGGTTCACCTGGAGGTTTACCTGGAGGTTTACCTGGAGGTTTACCTGGAGGTTTACCTGGAGGTTTTACTGAAATTCTGTATTCTTCCCTAAATCTGTTTCCAGTGGGAATTGCAGTTTTCTTAAAAAAGGACTCCATGTTGGATCCCAGTTTAAAACCTCTCTACTGGTTACCAGTACTGACTTGCTAGTCTCTGCATATCAGTCATCCAGCTGTGACCAGCAGATAGACAAGTTCATTGGGTTTGGATGCCCTCTGTGTGACCTTAATGAGTCAGCAATCATGTTCTGTCCTGAGGTGTTGAAATGACTTACATGTATTATTGAAGCAGTGACCATCTAACAGCCTAAATTGCCACCTTAACCCTAAAGGGGCCGGGTTATTTTGACCATCTCTCAGCCGGGGGGGGGGGGGGGGGGGGGGGGGGGGGGGGGGGGGGGGGGGGGGGGGGGGGGGGGGGGGGGGGGGGGCGGATTCTGCCCCCCCCTAAGATCTCGGCCATCGAGTGACGAAAAATTTTGAAACTCGGCACATGCATAGAGCAACTCTTCCTAAACATACCCAAGAAATTTCATGACTATAGGTCAAAGGGTTTTGAAATTATGGCTAATTAATTATTCATATGTACGAATGGCAATTCTGCTCTGTGTACAAGACGTATATGCGAAAATTCAGTTTTCACGGCGCGTAGCGCCAAAAAATTTTTCGCTACGCGGCAACCCGTGGTCCGATTTTTTATGTTTTTGGTATCGAAAGATGCGCAAAGCTCGAGGCTAAAAAGTCATAACAGCTCGGGTCGCGAAACAATTTTTTTTAGAAGCTATCACGGAAAATGTTGAGGGGGGGGCGGATTCCGCCCCCCCCGGCCCCTTTAGGGTTAACTAATCTCATTACATAAACTAGGCTACAGATATGATTGAATCAGCTCTAGTGTGTTTGCTTTCCAGCATGAATGAGCAGTTATAAACGTATGGTTTGAAGCAGATTAGGGGCTTGGTCACCATCATCACCGGCCATTATCCATTATCAGCAGCAGAGGCCCCTAACCAATTTAAAACCACACATTTATAACTGCTCGATCACACTGTTCTCCCCGTTTATAAATAACTTTTCTTTAAAAAAATTATTTAAATTTTGAAAAGTTGTCAAACTTCAATCATTTTGCTCTACCATAAACTTAAAACACCAAGCAGTGTTAAAATGGACGAAAAAAAGGAACAGGTATTTAAAATATAAAATGGAATAGTCAATGAATTTGCTTTTATAAATAGGCCCTGTATAGCAGTACCTATGCGATGTAGGTATTAAGTTTCAAGATCTCATTGGGATACACATTCTGTAAAGGCAACAATTTGAGCATGTTTGCTGAATTTAAAGACACATCTTCACTAAATCAGGGGTACCACTTGGCACAACCTAGTTTCCGTTGATACGATCTTGCTGCGCTATGTTGTTGCCCATCATGTTTTGCGCGATCTTAACCCCTGGTATTGTGTAATTTCAGTGTGCCAAATAATGGCACATTTGAATTAGACTGCAGTCAATGTATCTAAGGCGCGACGCAGTACTTAAAATTTTGAAATGTTTGTGTTGGTAGAATCAATCCTTTCAAAGATAATATTCCGATGATGCATTATTTAAGCAAGGATTTATATTAAATGTACGTACCTCTGTCGTCCCTTTAAAACATAACATACAGGTT